TCCGCCATGTATTCCAGTGCGGCCCTTAGTTTAGTGACATCCTGGTGAACCCTTACCTCGTCTGGGGATAATCTGGCCTGTAATTCCCTGAGCCAGATTAATGCAATTCTAGCGAAAAAGGAGTTAGATGTTGAGGCTCTTATAGCCCAAGCCGATGCCTGATGGGTCCTTTTGAGGGAAATCTCAGACTTCTTGTCCTCAGCCTTAAGGGCCTCCGACATATCTCCTGGGATTTTGGTGTCTGACAGTATGGGGGCGAGAGCCTCGTCTACACTCAGAACTTCGAGGACATCATTGAGGGAAGGGACCGTATCTAAGAGTTTACGATCTAATCCCCCAAGAGCAGAGAAACTTCCAGGAGATCCCCACTGATCCTGAATGGATTTGAGAAACATAGGGGGGCAAGGTATCTGTAGGTTCTTCTTGACCGGTTCCAGAAACAGTGGGTCAGAACTCTGTCCAGAGTCCTGATCGGTCGTCTGTGGTTTCACGGGTTCAATTTTTCCGGTGACATAGGCCTTTTGTAAAAGAGGATAGAAGGAATTTGGATTAAACACCCCTACCATAGGAGTGGCCTCCACCTGAATGTCTTCCCCGTCTGACCACATGCCTTCTTCCGGAATCTGAGCAGAAAAATCTGATATCTCGCTCCCTTCAGATTGAGGTGGAGAACCGTGATCTGAAATCACATACTCCCTGGGATGCCTAGTTTCCGTGGGCGTAGGGGGGGTTGACGGTCCTTGGACCGGAATGGCCCTCCCTGAAGCCGCCATTGCCTGAACCACTGCCTGTGAGATCATGGCTTGGAGCTGGACAGTAAATGAAGGATTTTCGGGGCTCCGAAGACCCGCCGCCATCGGCTTGAAAGATGCTGAAGGGATTGGGGGAGGGACGACTGTAGTAACCTCCCCCTGAGACCCACAAGACACTGAGGAAGGTCCTGGCTCAGCAGCTGGAATTGAATCTTGGACCTGTAATCTCAATTCTCGGTCAAAGAGGGACAGATGGTCCCGTTCATATCCCAGCAAGGAACCCTGGTCCAGGGTCTGCTCGGGAGACCAAGCCTGTGTAAGAGGGGAAGGTCGATGCTCCCCTGATGTGGATGCAAGAGGAGGTGAGGGGATAAGCTGCGTCTCTCCTGTCTGCCGCTGGGCTTTGGAGAATTGTCGCTCCAGCACCCCATGTCTGCTATCTGCTTGCTTGTCATCGGCCTTAGAGGTCCGTTTGACCTTGGCCTTGGCTTTTGCAGGTGTATCCAGACTGGATGGCTTGTGTTTTACATTTCCACTGGAGGTGGAAGCCTGTGAAACGGTGTTATCCGCCATATTGAAATAAACAATAGGAAATAAACAACAGGTGTTCACCAGGAGATCCCTGGATCTGGCCTGTACTGCAGTAGAAGAAAAGACAGGTTGTCACCAGGAGATCCCTGGATCAGTCCTGTTCTGCAGGAGAAGAAAGGGCAGGTTTTCACCAGGAGATCCCTGGATCGGCCCTTGGTCTGCAGGAGAAAGGAAGGCCACGGCCCACCTGGGTGGTACAGGCCTGCACGAGGGTCTGTGAGGTCCGGCCCACCGTTAAGCATGGAGTCACTACGCGATATAAGCCGCGCTACACTCAGGGGCTGTCCTCCCCATTCAATTTTTCAGGCCCACTGTAATAGAGACAATTTGGCTGAAAAGGTATCAATTAAAGATAAGTCTATATATGAATATAGGTACATATCTTGTTTAATTTAATTCTGTTTTATTTTATTTTATTTTTTTTAACCCTCGTGTCTCACTTAGTGACGGCTAGGACAGTAAGTGCCGACCACTATGCAGACAGCGGAAAACAGGCAAGGCAAGCAGCCATCCAATTTGTTGGCACTGGATATTTAAAAGGTACTGGTAAGTCACAGTCTGGAATATTACCAGATAAAATGGAGTGAGAGACTCGAGGTATTTTCCCTATGTCCACTAGACAACCTGAGATGGTGCCTATTAAGCAGCTGAATGAAGATCTAAAGGAATGTAATTAGAACTCCTATTCCCCCCCCCCACTTAGTGAGAATCACCAAATAAGTAAGTTACTTCGTGACTGAAAAGGCTGTAATTAGGACAAAGCAATCAATTTAATGTGTGTGATCGGGCGGAGCCCAAAATGGCGGCCGGGACAATCTGATGAGATGAAACAAGCTGAGAGAAAAAATCCTCTCCTGCAAGTAATCTGGTAATCAGCTCTTTTAGTCAAACAGTTCACCTGCTGGTTTTTTTGTTTTTTTTTTTGGTAATTTACAGCTGACAATCAACAGTAACAAGGAAGTACTTGAGTAGTGTGAGGATCAAGCCTTCTAGAGGCTCAAAATGGCACCCGCAGGTTGTTTGAATTGGTAACAAACCTAAGAAGGTGATTTCAGTTTTCAGCTGAAAATTAGTAGTTTAGCTTCGCATTCACAGCGAAGATCTTGGGAGGGGGTGGGGGAGGTGGATTGTAATGAGGAGGCAGCAATCTACGATCAGCTGTCTGCCTCTGAAAACTCACGGAGAAGGGAATTGATTAAGAGAGAAGAAATGGTGCAGCACTGAGCTCAGAGCTGAACCAATCCCCCCCCCCCCCAAGAAGGAAAAAAAGGATAGAGAAACCACGAATGGCAATAACTACCTTTTTGAATCTAAATTAGGAGCCAAATTCTCATGTGTCTTCAGGGCTGAGACCAAACGAAAACTGGGGCATGGCAACTTTGATTGTTTGGTCTGATTGGGCTAGAAGACTAAATCAACCCATGCGTGGAGTCTACATTCCTCTACATGCTGGAGAAAAGGCAGGAGCAGCTAAAGTCAGCCTAATTACTTATGAGGAGGCAGCCTCATTCCTTTTGATGGCTACACCAGAAGCTGGTTATTTAGTACAGTAGACAGATGGAAACAATACCGAGAATAATATGTTCATTTTCTTGCTGTGATCTTGCCTCGTGTCACTTCAGCTGTTGCCTTGCCTTTGCCCCTGGACTTGCCTTTGTCTTGGAACTTGCTTTTGCCTTGGGAACTTGCTTTTGCCTAATGGACTGGACTCACCTTTGCCTTGAGGACTTGTATTGGCTTCATTTGAGTAGCCTGTGGAATTCACTGGGGTTGAGCTGCTGCTGGCACAGGGAATTGCTGGGGAATACCAATTCAGGCTCAGAAGCCTTAATAAGACTCCTTACACACCTGTGTGTGTGCGTACACGAGCAGGACAGCACAGCTTTTAATAGAAAAGAAAGTTAAAACAGGATATTTGATGATGAGACCTTAGTCAGCAGTTCCAGGTAATCTCTTACAGATATCAACACGGATAATAAAATAATCCCCAAAGAATCAATGAAATTGCCATGAGCAATAATAACTCAGAGTTGGTGTGTGCATATGCTTGCCTTTGAGTCGATCTCTATGCAGTTTTCTTGGCAATATTTGCAAAACTGATTTCTCATTGCCTTCTTGACCCAAAGTCATTCAGATGATTTCGGTGTTCTCAATCAGGACTAAAAGGTTTTTCCTCACTCCTGGTCCAGGTCCTCATTCAATTCTTCTCATGCCATATCCGTTATTGGACATTGGCTATCATGTTGGCGATCCTGTTTTTATCAGCAGCCGCACAAAAAAGTGCTGCTGAGTTTTGTCCAAACCAGTCCCTTAGATTTTGAAGCCATGATGTTCTTCTGCCTGGACCTCATTTGCCTTCAATCTTTCCCTGGAGGATTAAATGGAGTATGCCGTATTTTTCTGGGTGTCGCATCACATGTCTGAAATATTCTAATTTTCATTTTTTAATTGTTTTGATGATTTCCCTTGGCTTTCCCAGGCGGCTTATCACCTCCTCATTCAATAGACTACTAAACTAACGAGCTCTTGCTCTCAAAAGACCTTCTCTGTAATACTCCATTATTACTTTATAAAATTGGTTACTCAAACAAGTGGAATCAACACATGCTCACGCAAAGCTGTATACTATCAGACCCTTTTGTACAATTGAGAGGACAAGCAAATGTTTGTTTCTATCTATTTGTCCTATTGTATCTATGGTTACTTTCAGACTGCCAACTTCTTCAGCCACAAATCACATTATGAATTGGATAACCAAATAAGTTGAATATATAAATTCCCAAATTATCCCCCAAATAATTTTCAAAATTATGCACAAAGGTATTTTTCTCATGTGTTATACAAATAAGTTCCAGAAAGGGAAGACTCAACATTAAGTGTCTTAAAATATTCCCCCTGTCTTCAATTCAGAGCAGGTGAGAATTGGAACCATTTATGGATACCAGTTACACAGCTTTCTCAGTAAAAATGAGCAATAACTTTCAGGAATCCTATTATCTATACCTTTTCTCTTCATCACTTTCTTGATGGTATACTTCAAATCAAATGGCAATCTGAAAAAAGTGATTGCTTCTAATCTTAAGAAAGCAAAATGGTGATAGAATGCTGAAGAATAAGCAACGACCTCAAATATTCATAGCTCAAAGACACTGTCTGGAATAGTACAGCTAATAAATAAGCTGCTTTACATCACCCTGCTTGTTATAATCACAGAAATACTTAATTCTGACATTTTTTAGAAATGAGGAACTGTATGGAGGCCAATGTGACTATGACTAGAATCTGTCCTCTTCTATAAGGCAATAAGATTGCTCTAAATTAAGTGACACAGGTGAGACAGCTCATCAATGTTCTGCAATCTTAGATTGGCAAAACATGGCAAAAATCAACCCCTACTTACAAAAAGCCAGGAACCAGGAATACACATTAGTAAGAAATCAGTACTGAAGCCATTGGGTGTGCTGACCACAGTGCATCAAGATCTATATCACTAGAGCCTGCAGTCTCACTCCCAACAAGTTCTGATACACATTTATGAAAGATGAACTTCATTTGAAAGATAATATGGGGAAAACAAGCTGAAGATTCATAATGAAAACCATTATTCCAATTACTTAGGAAGCAAAATGACAGTACAACAAAGAAGAGGAATCACAATTGTTCTGGCAGCTAGTTTTTTTTCCCAGGATGTGGGATTACCAGCTCAGGCCACCTTTATTTTGCTACATAAAGCTTACATGTCAGAAGGTAGCAACTAGTTAGTGATCAAAAGGCATTTCTTGTCTTCATTTTCAGTATTATTTAAGGCCTATAGTTTCTTTCCAACTCCCTTCAAATTCAAAGTTTTTGACTAGCAAACACCAGGGATAGGTGGGGGTGAAGTTTTGGGATTGGTTATTTCAATCCAATAATAGTTTGGGAAATGGTTCTCAGCCCAAGAAAAAATGCAATTGTTTTATATCAGTTTAAAAAACAATGAGCTCTTAGAAAATTTAAAGGGAAATACGGCAGTTGCTGCAAATCCCCATTAGTGGAAATTCTCGATTCGTCTCTCTGGGAGACAGTAAGGATTGTTCTTTGGGAACAAAAATCTCTGTAAACAGACATGATCAGATATTTCCTTCTCCAGCATTGAGTCAGCTAAAGATGCTTCTGACTCCACATAGGCAGATGAGTGACATTTACCAAGTAAATGTGCAAATAATGCTATGCTATGGGTGATAAAGAGATGTAAAAAGAGTAATTGGGGAATAAATGCCTTTCATTCTGTTTGCTAAGCCGTTCTATGTGATACAACAGGTTTTTCAAATAGCGAGTCAAATATTGTGTTCCATTTTCAAGGTTCTTTGAATTACAACTTCATACTCTGCATCGGACCATAAGCTCAAGAGTCCATTAAATGCATTAGATACCAACTTGTTTTCCTGTACCAGGGCATCTCATAATGAGACTTTACAAATGACTTGCATCCCAGTTGGATGTAGCAAAGGACAAAGTTTCATAAGCAGCTTCTGCCTTTCAGCTAGACAAAGAAATTGGATGGGCTTTTCCTTATGCCCCAGGCAATGCAGGGACATTGCGCAAAACAGCGAAAGTCAGAATCAAGATCACTGTCGCTTGGAAGCAACTTTCATGGCACTGTGGTTTTTCAGACATGTAAGCACTAGGACACAGAGTGCAAATAAGACTTTGGTCTTTGGTACAAAATCTCTTCATTCTCATCAACACACATTGAAAACTGAAGGGGCCTGGGTCTTGTACTTTTCATGGAAGGCTTTGAGAATGGGCACTAGATTTGTAAAGGCTGGGCGGAATGAAGCTTCAAATTCCCAACAGTTTTTCATCAGACGATAAATCTGTGGAAAAAGGCACAGATTTAGAAAACAAAAAGCACATACAATACAAAAAAGAAAGAGAGAGAAAGAAAAAGAAAGAAAAAGACAGAAAGAAAGAAAGAAAGAAAGAAAGAAAGAAAGAAAGAAAGAAAGAAAGAAAGAAAGAAAGAAAGAAAGAAGAAAAAAGAAAGAGACAAAGGTAACTCAGCAAATTGTCCAATACTATGTGGTATTGTTTTACTGGTAAATCTAACAAGCTCCCCTCCCATCAACTTGTTTTCTAGATTCCAAGCTAGCTTAAAAAAAGAAAACACAGATCAATACACGACAGAGAAGACACTCTCTCAGTTACACTGCTCTGCAGTTTCTGCTCTAAAAACCACCGCTAATGGGTAAAATAGTAATCACCAGGAGATATTAGATGTCTATTAAACTTCCAAATCAGATTATTTGCAGCATTAATTGCTCTGGAATAAAAAGACTATGCTTTCTAATCAGAGCTAATGTAGCTGTTCCTGTATATTTAATTGTTTGTTTATAAAAAAATTGAGATATATTTAACATGAAGGCTTTAACCCTTAGGAATTATTTTTATTTATATGAGGAAGCATCCTCAAATTACAGTAGAGCATCTGAAGGAATGGGAACATGTTCAGATATTGGCTAACATTATAAATTATTGGAAGATTTACCAGAATTATCCCCTATATGTGAAGAAATGTGAATATAAGAATACAGTGCAATATCATTTACCTGGGATTACAACCCAGTGAATCAATGGGATTTCTAAGTAGGTGGGCATAGAATTGCACAGTAAGTAATGCAGCGTTACTTGTGGAAACTAAAAAGATTGTAGCAAGGGTATTTATACAATAGCTTAAAATGCTTCTAATGTATCACAGACTTTTCCTTTGCTTACTACTATATATCATTATCTTCTAAAATGTATCACTGGCACTAACAACACATCCTTTATCCATTTAAATATTAATCAACAATCCTGATTTCATATCTAGCTATCAGACATGAATTTGCATTATTTACCATTGGTTACTTTTGACTAAGCTTAGAATGGAAACTGTCTTGAAAGTAATCCTTGATTCCATAATTTTCAGTAATATACTGTTTTCTAAACCTTTAGCAGATATCACAAAGATGAGCAACATAGTTATCTTAATTTTGTTTGGGAGCTCTGGATGCAGCAAAATGCTGAGATCCCCAGACTACAACTTCTATAACAAAAAGGCAATCAAAGGCAAAGGAGAACATACTCACCTCACAAGGGCAGTCTTTTGGACTGGGTAGCCTTTCTCCTCTGTCCAACAACTCAATAAGCCGCAGCACTGTCATCTGACCCTGAGTCATTCCAATCATCTCAATAAATCTCTAAAGCAATATGGGAAATCCAGTCAGTGTTGTCATTAGGTAACATGAAGATGCCACATGCCAAAAGTTTCTTTCTTCAAAAAAAACTTTACAATGAACCTGTACACATTTTTTCTCAGAGGCAATAAATGTTTGAGAAAAATCATTTCAGAAAAATAATTATATTCTAAGCATACTGAATGATGGTGCATTCAGTCAGAAGGATCTAAAAACGTAACAAAATAATATTGCATCATGCTATATCATTCCTGTAAATTTATGAGAACTGAACAATATATGCAATAGCATTGTGTGACAGTTATTAGCCCTTAGGCCAGCATGGACTTCAACATCCTAGGTAACTAACTACAACTAAAGATAACTAAATCTAACCAACATCCTAGATAACTAAACTACAACTAAAACAGCACTGACAGTCCTCTGAAGTACAGACATAGTTATAAGCAATTTGGGGGGGGGGGGCAGGAATACATTTAGATTTTGAACACGTGTGATGAGTGCATTTATAAAATGGCTACTGGAGCAGATTACCCAGCTACAAACATCCATTTAGCAGAAACCTATTAAGCTCTCAAAATGTTATCTACAATTACAATGAGGTTTAAAAACCACACTTAAATATAATGCTAGAATTCAATGCTTTGCTTTCTTTATTCTTTTAATTAAAAGGAGCTTATGGGTATTCAGGAAGAAGTCAGAGAACATGGCCACTATGCTGTCTATGACTGAGTCACCTAAATGCATCCAAGCAACAGTTATACTGAATATTCTGATTTGGTCCCAAGTCTACAATAAAGAATAACAGAATAACTGAGTTGGAAGGGACCTTGGAGGTCTTCTAGTCCAACCACATGCTCAGGCAAGAACCCCTACACCATTTCAGACAAATAGTTGTCCAATCTCTTCTTAAAAACCTCCAGTGTTGGAGCACTTACAACTTCTGGAAACAAGTCATTCCACTGATTAATTGTTCTAACTGTCAGGAAATTTCTCTTTAGTTCTCAGTTGCTTCTCTCCTTGATCAGTTCCATCCTTTGCTTCTTGTCCTGCCTTCAGGTGCTTTGGAGAATAGCTTGACCCTCTCTTCTTTGTGGCAGCCCTTCAAATATTGGAACACTGCTATCATGTCACCTCCTAGTCCTTTTTTTCATTACACTAGATATACCCAATTCCTGCAATGATTCTTCATGGCTGCTATGGCTTGTGGCTGCTAAATAATGTTATGAATAGTAATTTTACTCACTGCTGGTGGGCTCTGACTTGAATCACATCGTGTCAGTAGTTCATATAAAGTCACTCCAAAAGACCAGACATCAGAAGCATAATAGAATTTACATTCCTTGAGGCATTCCACAGCATACCTGTGTAAATAGCAATAAAGAACTGACAAACTGCATCTTAATTAGAGTGAAGTTCTAGATTATCCAACAGCAGTCAAATGGCTTTGAAATTGTCAAACAGGGCATTTACAACTCACTTTTTACATATTGTAAGATTGCAATTCTTCTTTTCCAAAGCACTCTTCTATATAAAAGCATGCAATTATCATCATTCACTCCAATTATTGAAAACAAGACACAACAATTAACTGATTCCACATGATATAATGCCTGTATGAATGAGTTATAGTGCAGTCAGCTCTCTCAAGTATCAAAAATCCATAAAATAATGCAATTGTTTACATACCAGAAGACAGGGCTGTCTCCATCTTCACAGACACGATAGTATTCATGTCCTTCGGGGATGGCTTTGGCAAGACCGAAATCTCCAATCTTTACTATATTCTCATTCTCTAGGAGCACATTTCTAGCTGCTAGGTCTCTATGGATGTAGTGCAAGGAGTGGAGATAAGCCATTCCCTGCAGAGAAAATAGAGCCACCTTACATTCTTTAATCAGAGGCCAAAGCAATCAGTAGCTGTGTATTTACCCAAAGGCAGACCTGGCAATCCTGAATTTCATGTATCCTATTCCGTTTATAAAAATAAAATATTTTCCTAGCATTAAGGAACAATTATGTAAACAATTCTCTCCATTTTGCTTTACCTATTGGAACTATGAGCCAAGAAAAAGGCATTCCCTCAGTCAAGAACCACATAAATGTTGTATCCAACACTGACAAGACTTTACCTCACAAATCTGTTGGGCAAAGAGGAGAATGTGGGCCAAGCTGACATTGTGTTTGGGAAGATAATCCCTCAGACTTCCCAGAGGCACATATTCCATGATAAGCTGTACAATCTTTTCTCCTGGAATTGAAAAATGCAACAAATATTAGCTCAAAAAAAGCATCATTGCTTCCCCTAATTTATTTGGTCTTTAAAACACCTGGCTTAAACAAAGAGCACATGCAGGGCCTGCAGTTCACATTTGATCTTCAGTATCTTTTGGGCAGTTCATCAGGCTTACTTGCAATACTCATTTCTCCCCCATGCTGATTCTGCATTCTTTCTCTTGCCACATTAAGGGAACCTGTCCTGCTGCCAATGTACCTGATACACTCTACAGAATCTATAATAATTTGGCAGATTCGGAACTACCTTTCTGAGATACTTGTTATTATTAAGATGATCTAGCTATTAGTAGAGAATAAACAATGGAATAGACTGGTTAAAGGAGGTATATAGGCTGGTTGAAGGAGAAACTATAATCCGAGGATGAGAAAAAAATGGCTGAATAAATGGGCAGAAAGGAGTCTGCGTGCAGAGGATATATTGTTTGCTCATATGGGAATGCAACCCTGAAAGCGTTGCCCAAATCTGCAAATGTAATTTAAAATTATAGCAGCTATTTCAAAAATTATGCCTATGACGAAGTTAGGATACAAATCGGGAGCTCTTGGGACTAGTTATATATAAGTACCATGCTTATTTCATACTTATACTATTCACCATCTTGCTCCTGCAAGAGCTATTCAGATTTCATACCTTGCTCACTGCAGCAGCCTTTGTATTTTACAATGTTCTCATGGTAGAGTGTCTTCAAGATCTCAATCTCCTTTTTCCAACTAGTCAAGAGCTGCTGGCTGCAACCTGATTTCAATGACTTCACTGCTACCATCTCACCAGTGCCATCATTAGCAGGATCGTAACAATACAGGCTCACTTTACCAAAGTGGCCCTAATAGAATGAGAGGGAGAAAGAAACAAGGTAAGAATTTTGAATTTCAAAAGCCAAATGCCAAACTATATTTCTTTGGGAACACTGATTGCAACTACCTGGATGTACAGAACGCCTTTCAGAAGGAGAACTAATCTCAATTATCTCAGAATAATCCCTTGCTACATACAAATCAAGGAATATTTCACTTAGTTGTTGTTATGCTGTGAAAAGAAAACACTGACTTTCACAATCAAGTCTGAATAATATTTCTTTTTCTTCATTCTTGAATCTTTCTATGATTAAAGTTAATCTCTATTTGTGGTCCTATTTCATACTTCATGTAGCAGATACGTAAGTAAAATAGGATCAATCAGCAAAGTAAGATCATTGTTTGAAATTGACAAAACTATGGAGCAAATGAAGGCAAGGGGAAAGAACATCTGAATGGGTATGTTGCACATGGCTTGTTAAAAATGAAAATATAGATAGGTTGAATGATGATTTTTGGAAACTACAGTTTGGCGTGATAAGTAAAATAATAAAATTTATTTGTAATTAACAAATAAAAAACAAAAGACAGGATTTGTAGTGGGTTTATGAACTATAGGTCTGTTTCATATCCAATGAATCTTTAATTGAGCCCTATAAGATATAATCATAGTAAAACCTCATTTTAACAGATTTAACTGTTGGTGAGAGGTGTCTATTATGCTTCAGAAACCAATAAAGCAAAGGATACATCCTTGTGACAATACAAATGGCACCAATTACATCTTTGTGCCATTAGTGTAATGATACTAATGTGAGGACCCAGACACTAGTGTGAGGACCCAGATTGTTGGGGGCAATATGCTGACTCTATAAAACTGCTTAGAGAAGGCTGTAAAGCACTATGAAACAGTATATAAGTCTAAGTGGTATTGCTATCATTACATAAATGGGAAAAACTGATGGAAATGAGATTGGGGCATGTTTAAGGACGCAGCTACTGATAACCAACATACAAATGTTGAGGAGTATGCCACCACGGTGTCTGCATATATCCAAAAGTGCATAGAAGATGTTTGTGTCCTGCAAAGCATAGTTGTGAGGGCGAATGAAAAACTGTGGTTGACTTATGAGGTCCACAAGATGCTGAAAGCATGGAATGCGGCTTTTAAATCCGGTGACATGCTGGCACTTAGAACAGCCAGAGCAAATCTGAAAAGTGCCATAAAAGGTGCAAAGCAAGCCCATTGCCAGAAAATTCAGAACTTTTTTCAGGACCCAACAAACACCAGGCGAATGTGGCAAGTAATCCAGGCCATTACGGATTACAAGGTGATTACATCAAGATGGAAGGACAACACAGACTTCCTAAACAAACTGAATACATTTTTTGGTAGATTTGAGGCATCAAATAGCACTCCTGTTAGGAAAGCTGTGCCCCATCCTGATGAGTAAGTACTAAGCTTTGATGTCACCTTTGTCTGGAAAACACTGCAGAAAGTTAACATTCAGAAAGTAGCAGGACCAGATAACATCCCTGGATGTGTCCTTAGGGAATGTGCAGATGAGCTAGCTTGTGTTCTCACAGATATTTTCAATCTCTCATTGCAGCAGGCAGTGGTCCCATCGTGTTTTAAGAGGGCCATCATCTTGCCAGTACCAAAAAAGTCCACAATTACAGGCCTCAATGATTACCGTCTGGTTGCACTGACATCCACGATTATGAAATACTTTGAGAAGCCGATAAAGGACATTATTGTATCAACCCTCCCGCCAGGATTTGACCTACTTCAGTTTGCCTACCGATCAAATAGCTCTACAGAGGATGCTATTTCTTCCGTTCTCCATCTGAGCTTGAAGCACTTAAGAGGAAAGAAATACTCATATGCGTTTGTTATTTGTCGACTTCAGTCTGGCATTTAACACAATCATTCCCCAGCATCTAGGAAACAAACTGGGCCTTTTAGGCATAAACACTCCTTTGTGCAACTGGATTCTTGATTTTCTTACGAACAGGCGAGTTGGAACAAATACCTCTAAAACCATTTTCTTGAGCACATGGTTCTCCACAGGGCTGCGTCCTAAGTCCGCTGCTGTTCACCCTGTTGACCCATGACTGTTGTGCTAGGTTTGCCACCAACCATATTGTGAAGTTCACAGATGATACAACAGTAGTGGGCCTTATTCAAGATGACAGTGTGGATACTTACCTCAAAGAGGTTGAGGGGTTGGTGAACTGGTGTAAGGAAAACAGCCTAGTTTTAAATACCGGAAAAACCAAAGAGATCATTGTCAATTTCAGAAAAGGCAGGCAAAGCCACACTTCTCTGTGCATTAATGAGATGGTTACCAGCATCAAATTCCTGGGTGTTCCGCTAACGAGTAGGCTGGCTTGGTCGCTCAACAGCAGGCACAGCAGCATCTGCATTTTCTGTATCACATGAGAAAAGCACATCTTCCTTCCCCTATCCTTACCACTTTCTACAGGGGGACGATCGAGAGCATCCCATCATACAGCATCAGTCTGATTTGGAAGCATCACTGCTTCAGACAGGAAGGCAGTGCAGAGAGAGATGAGGATGGCCAAAAAGATCATTGGCAGTTCCCTCCCTCCCATCCAGGACATAGCACAGAAGTGTTGCTTGAGCAGGGTCCATAAGATTATCTGGGACACTACACATCCTCTTCATGACCTATTTTCTTTGCTACCTTCTGGGAGGAGGCTTCGTGGTATCCGTAGCAGAACATCCAGATTCAGCCATTCCATACAGCATTAACCTTGTGAATTCTCAAGCGTCCTCCTTCCGTTATATGTTCAAGATGGAATATTTAACATTTGTTTGTTATATATATGTAGAGGTGTGGGTCTATACATATGTTGTATACAGTATGTTTTAGGTGTGTGTCATGTATGTGTTTCACTTTGAGAGCGGGCAACTAAATTTCAGTTTTGATGTGTGCCGTTGTGCCCACAGTAAAAAAATAACAATAAAGGTTATCTTATCTTATCTTGAGCATTCACAACTACATCCTTTAGCGTACTGTGGCATTATCTGCACACAAATAATGTAAATTACAATTTGGCTCACTGCATGCAAAGTCTATTGGTCTGAGATCTGTACAACTGAATGCCATTGAACTGAACTAGAAAAAAAAAGTATTAAACACCCAAGAAGCACTAATTACTAGAGTGCTGGAAAATAAAACTATGGTTCGTTTCTAAGGAAGATTATTACTAATGGTAGCATCAGTGTTAGATTGTATCTCTTTTGACTGATATGATGAGAATATTTAGGAACCAACACTCTATCCTGCGTGTGATGGGACAGCTGACTATATCTGCCAATCAAATAAAGATAAGTATTTCATGATGCTAAAATGCCTTATCAGCAGCTGAACATTTAGTTTAATATGAGATGGGCGCTGAAATAAAAGAACCCTAAATATGTACATTTATAAATGTTATAGCATTGTTCTTAATATTTGCTTATTATTACACTGATACAGTTGTAACTAAAACTGAACATAATTCCACTTCCCTGTTATATATTCACTGAATATATCTTTGTTTTACTGCTTCTTAAAAGATAGAAAACTATATTTGCTTCTTAAAATGAAGATATGCGAGACATTTGATCCTCAATATATAGATAGAAAACGTTAATTGCAGGAACAAAGAGAATAATCTGTTTCAGCTCTTACTTTTTAAGAATGGAGGAAGAAAATAAGTTGTTATTCCTAACAAAAGCAATTTACCTCACCCAGATCTCGAATCTTTTTCAGGTAGCGCTTCTGAAAGACAGTAGGGTCTGATACAGGGAACGCAGGATTCACAGAGCTAATGTCAAGAGGATCTGGAAAACAAGAAGAAAGATGTAGTGGATGTACAATGACTAGAAGGAAAGAAACTTACAAAGCACTCTTAGGAAGCCTACAACATACAGATCAGAAGAGGTTTTTATTGGAGTTTAGTACTGAAGGACTAAATGTTCATAGCCTCGTTAATTTTCTATTCTCTTTTAGAGTCAAACAAATTTCTAGGTTTGTTTGTACAATCTCTTCTAGTTTTTATTGTTAGGGCTGTTGTTTTTTCTCTCTCTCTCTCATTGGTATTGCAATTTAAGCAGATATGATCAGGCCACAAACTGAGTCTCTGCTTATCCTCCTAGCATCTTAATTGAGTTGTCCTCTTGTATCCAAAAAAGGGAGTGAGAGAACACCATTATGTTACACAAGACAGAGACTGCTCTCCTTTTGCAACCATTGGAGCACCTACTCACCATGCTGTCACTATTCAGTGACATGTTTGTCATTTTGTTTAAATAAACAAAGAAACAGCATGTGTATACTGTTTCTGCTAACCATAATGCACCTTTTCAAAAATCACCCTCCTCCATGTTGGAGCACAACTCCTCTGGGAATGCACTGTCATGAGCCCAATGGATCCCATTATTTTTAGCATGGCCCTAGGATGCAAAAAGGTTGCTCTCATATGGCTAATAAAATGCTGTTATCCAAGAGGGTTTTTTGGGATTTTTACTATGTGGCTGCAGTTGAGTGAGGTCTCGTAAGATAGTCCGGAAAGAAGGTCGCTCTCCAGGAGCATAGTTTAGGCACTGGCTGATTAGGGTAGCTAGTTCTTTGAAGGATGGCTCTGGAAGATGATGCTTCTTCTCATAAAAACGTTCTTTCTGCAGAAAAAAAATAGAAGCTTATGACTAATATTGCCAAATGAAAATAGATTAAACATAGAAAATCCACTGACATTTCCTTTGTAATGTTATTTCTCGTCTTCACTTTATGCCAAACAGCTTTCAAATGGGATCTAGATGCCTAATGATTAGTTAGGTTTTAAAGTTGGTCATAAAAATCTCCCTGCTATCTAGTCTTGGAATCCTACTTCTATCACTCCTTCTATTATTTCTGTTAGTGCATTATAAGAATACCTTAGGGAGCTACTCCATTCCAATAATTTACCTGGAAATAGGGTGCAAATTATCTTATTGTTACTTAGCCCTTTCAGACTTTTCAGGAGCCAATGAACGGACATTCAGTAATTTCTCCAAGAGGGTCTGTCAGTTAACTTTTTAAATTTCTTCTAAACTTATGATTGTGCCATCTATGACTGTGCCTCTGCCATCTCTTTTGTAATTGTCTTCAGCTTCAGGCATGAGGTTTTTCTTCAATGATTCAGTGTTTCTGTATGTAGTCTAGCATTGAATAATTTGTTCCTTTGCAGTCTAAGATAAAATATCCATCATATTTTTCTCCAGCACTTTTATTCAAATTCTTCTGTGCTCTGATGGTCAAGTTTTCATAGAAAACCAAGCCTTGACAGTATGTACCTGTGACATCTGGGTGTTGTAGCTACACTTTCATATTTTAACTAGCACTATAATAATATTTCTCAAAAGTAGCAGATATTTATTTCATAACTACATGACTTGTAAATTTTTGAGTCTAAAAAGATAAAGTTGTTAGTATTTCAACTTCTCCAGCTATTAACATTAGACTAGGATTTCTTGCTCACATAAACTTGGTTTTTATTATTTGTTGGTGCCGCTGCCATGAAGTGAGACCATAAAAAAGACACCCCCCCCCAAAATAAGACTTGGTGCCTTTTTTGGAGGCAAAAAGAAATGAGACTGGGTCTTATTTTGGGGGAAATATGGTATCATCAATATATCTGAGGTTAAGGCTTCCCAGCAATTTTAATTAACATATTTCTTCTTCTTCTGCATTACTTCTGCCTAAGAGCTACAATATAAGTGAAGCAGCAATTCTACATCCTTTATCTGGAAATATATTAAGCGGAACAGTGGCATATTTCTGTTTTATTCAACTACTTTAATTTCACCAATCTTATAGAGTATATCTTTCTGCATTTGTAGATGAAATTGTCTATTTTTCAACAGTGATGTGCATGTTTTAGAGTTTAAAGTGTAATTTTTTAAAAAATAATTCTCATGTCAAAAGAAGTTGACACCTAAAGATCTTTCTAGCTTCCAACCATAATATATTAGTTCCACAGTTAATATACTGTATTGCAGTATATTGCAATCCTTATTGCAGAATGTATTATTTAATGCAATAATATGGTTGTGCATTTATAAACAAATGCTAATTAGCAGTATAAACTAATAAAAAAGCAGACCAGTATTCCTATGAAAGATGTTTTATTATGTTACTATTCTCAGGTTGAGACTAGATCCACCCTTTTCTGTAAGAAACCTACCCTGAAGTTTGCAGCAATATAATGAAAAGAAAAGTAGAGGGAGACACTACCTCAGAAGGAGTGCGTTCTTTTAGCGGCACATCTGCATCAAAACATATTTCTAGCAGTGTGGTCCCAAAACTCCATTTGTCAGCTGCTGTGCTAAGGTTGCTTACATCTTTGATACACTCTGGAGCAATCCATGGGATCCGGTCAACCCTTTCTTTACAAGCAGAGAAAGAAATAAAGAATTAGGAATTGCTGGACAGTGAACAGAAATTATGAAAACTCTAGTACACAGATTGATTACAGTCAAGATACGAAAGATATATCAAATATTTACTTAGCTAGCGACATGCAGGCTATCACATAGGCCTCTTTTACATGTAATATGCAATGTGAGCATGACACATGGAGATCTGTCTATAATTCTTCCCTTTAAAATTGTGGGCATAACAAGTAGTTGAACCTCATTTTTTACAAGTATAGTCCCCTTTAAACAAACCAGCAAACAAATGTATCCTTCCTTAAATAATCCATGCTACTTTGAAATATGGAAAGGGTTGACTCAGACAGTAAAGTGAGGGAGCCTTCTCACCAAAGTAGGATTTACACCTGTATCCTCCAAGGTGTACTTATACTGATTGATTTGATATGCTTTCACAATATCCTTCTATTCAAGCCTGCTAATATAATATATTCAGCTTGATCACCTCTATATACCTCGAATGACCACAAACGTGAAGAAGAAACTAAATATTAACGGTTTACCTTCTTGGGAAAGCACAGTGAAGCTGACTCCTGGGTCACTGAGCTTAATGAAGGGCAGCAAGCCATCTTCCAAACCTTTCCTGGCCAACAGGATGTTTTTGGCACATACATTGCCATGCACTAGGTTTTTATCTTCCTACATAAACAAATACAATGGTAGATTGTGACATACTATATCTAATGTGTGTCAGGAAAAAAATTCTGCTGTTTAGAAAAAAGAAGAATTCTGTCTCTAGATTCCTATACAAGCTAAACTAGTCGGTTTTGCATTATGCCTCAGTTTTCTCAAAAGACAGCTATTAAACAAAAATTTTACAAATTCAATAAACAAAAAAACAACACACATTTATTGTTCCTTACCCAAAACTTCCTGTAAACACAATTCCTCACATTTATAAACGACCCAACTCATTAAGACTATGAGCAGAATATAACTTAAATGCAACATTCACTACAATAAAATAACAGGGTGGGGGACACTAACACACTGATAAAATCCCCCCCCCCCCAATGAGCACATACTATTTAGCACCTAGGAAAGGTTCCAGGCTTTCAAAGATGGTTTAAAAGTTAGGAAGGTTGGAGCAACTTGAACCTCTGGGGAAGTACTGTTCCAAACAGCAGGTGCTACAACAGAAAACATGTGCCGCTTGAGTTCCATCAGATGGTCTGTTTTAAGGATGGAAACTGAAGAATGTCCAGATCTATCAGATCTTACTAAATGGGCAAAACAATGGGTCCCAAAAGCCTATTTACTAGCTATTCCTCTTCTTCTCTAGGAATATAATCTGCCCTACAAGTGTTGCTTCCTTTTTGGTTCTTCAAGCTGAGAATCACAGGAAATCACAGCAATTCTGTCCCACAAAGTGTTATTTTGAAGTGTATGGATGTAGGTTTGTGTTTATGTAAAGTGCTTTTCTGCAACCTTTAATGAGTTGTGTCTTTTCTGGGAATCATTGGGGTATAAAACACCTTTTCAGAATGTAATCCAAAATACTTTTATAACCCTTCTGATCAATATCCATACCAAATTACATACCAACGAATTCAAACTGAAGGACTGGTAATTAAAATTATATCTAAGAAAGAGAATCCTACAATTCTGCCATTTGAGCCATTGTGCATATCTCCAATAAAAACTGAGAATGGAGATCAGCCAAAATGACATCCAAACTTGTCAAGGAAACCCACCCACTGCAAATCCCCACCAACAGACTTACAAGGTAACTGAGGGCACTAGCTAATTGTGTTGCAATAGTGAATTTCCAGCCTACTGTTATCCTCCCTTTGTTATTGCGCAAAAAAACATCCAGGGGACCATGCTCAATAAATTCTTCCACCATTATATCTGAAAATCAAACCAGAAGAAGGGGTGAAAAATATGAAGCAAACAAATGGATTAGCATCCTTGCTCTATAGCAACAGGTGTTAATATTGGCTACAAAATATGAGCAGAAATGGGAATGGGCTGTTTTTATATACTTAAGATAGATCTAAGACGGGGTGCACAGACTCATAACTCAGGGCCATATGCACCTAAAACTTCTTTTTTTGCAGTTTCTAGAACCACTATTTCTCATCATTGATGAGAAATAGTCAATTTAAGAACTGTTTAAAATTAAGAACTTCCTATGTGAAAAAGGAGGTCAAATCAATCCCTCTCATTTAGCACAATAATCCAGTTCTCTGTGGCTTCTGAATATCTCAGAAATATTAACTGCACTTCTTGGCTATCAAAAACTATCCTAACCTAATCTAAATTAATCACAGAAGATATCTTATCGGCTGGAAATTGGGCAACCCTGTCAAAATATAGCTGGGTATGGGTAAGTGATGTCAGTTTAACACACTTTTTTGCTAGATATGAAAGGAGATAAAACAATATTAAGCAAGTAAGAATCAAATGTGATGCAAAGGTACATCTTGAAGCTTGTGAGGTAGTTGAGGAAACAGAAAAATATATTTGAAAGAAGCAGACAACACATGCACGAACCTTTCAAAGGATACAATTAATACTCACTCTCTGAACTCCATACACAAACCCCATGAACAAAAGCTAAGTGGATATGGGACACCTGGCTCATCAGGCTGGCTGTTTCAAAGAATGCCTGCAGAGAAGAAAGAGAAGGCATCACATCCAGACTACTGGCCAAGGAACAAAGCAGGAGCAGTCTAATCCAGCCATAGGCTCCTAAACTAATGATTAGTTCTCAGCCTAAACCTGGAGCACAAAACACCTGCTGTCATAAAGCAATAGTTAATTTCTTGTTATTTTGTTTTTCTCCACAAAAGAAAAATAGGTTCATTTTAAAAGATAAACTAAATAAGCTTTCCTAACCAAAAAACCCCCCTTCTCAATATGAGTCCTTGTTCATTCCTCTTGCTTATTTTTAAAACAATATTATATATCATTTACAGACATAAGAGTTTCAGTACGAGGAAATAAGATTAGTTAGAAATGCTGGTAGTTTATATTGGTAGATAAGCAGCCTTGGTTTAATTAAAAATGAGATATATCTTAAAAATGCAGAAATTAGTTTCCATCATTGGCCTGAATTAAGCTGGCAAAGTGAAAAGTCCTGAGTGGTATTAACACCAACACAAAGAAGGCTGCTGACAACAAGCTGGATCAACCCAAAGGCCTAATTCAGGCAGGGACCTATTTCCCACAATGCTCTGGAGCAAGTTAATTATTATTCTTCAGTAGATAGATTAATAGATAGAATACAATATTTCCACAAAATTTACTAATATCTTGCCTCCCCTCTCCCCCCACTTGATGGCACGTTGAATGGCAGGAGAATTTTTCTCTCCAGCTGATGATATTTCTCTGCCAAAGTTGGTTTTACTAATTTACTAATATCTCACTTCTAACGTATATTTCTATATCTCTACTCACCAGAGCAATGTCTCTATGACTTGGGTCCAACATCTTGAGTACCACATGCATCTCACGGCTATTGTTATTCTGCTCAGTAGAAAAATACTCTGCCTCATCGTCACCATTGATCCCACTGCATACATGAAGTATACCATCATAAATATTGGTTCGTGTTCCTTGTCCCAAGTGTGCTCTCTGATGGAGAACAATACACGAGTGTTAGTTAAACCGCTTTCCATTTCAGCACAAAAACTACTTAATCCTTTAATTCCACACTGAGCTGAGAATTGATTCATAATTATTTGAAAATCAATAAATTCAAAATCCTATCTGTGTCTGTCAAAGGTGAAAAAAGAAGACAGTAATCTCCACTGTCAGGCATTCATCTTGCTTTAATCAATCTCTACTCAAAGTCTACTTCCAAACCCCAGAAATAAAATGAAATCAAAATTGTATCTATTAGTAGCTTCTAAGCCATAATTTGTATTCATTGATATTACTTCTGAAAGTGGCAAAGAAAGTTAGATCTTTTTTGGCTGATACCCTTACAAACCCAACTTTTCATCTTCTAATGTATACAAGCCAACTCTGCTGACCTGTGTAATCTCATTCTTCCGAATCTGATGAAAACTCAGCTGAGTCAAATTCAGAATCTGCCTTGTGCCGTCTTTTACTTTTCGTGTGATGATCAAGTCTGAGATCTCTGCAGAACATAAAGAGTCCAAAAGTTCTGATTAAGAAACTACAGTAAAACAGTAGCACAAAATCAGAACATTTAGCAATTTTATTCATTCTCAGAAAATAATTAGCATGGATAACAATTGTTTAATGCTACCAAGGAAAATATGTTTCCTTAGAAACTGCACTTAATTTTAAAAAATTACTATGCAGATGGTTTAAAACTTTGTTCCTGAAAGTATTCAATCAACAATTCTTCCTGAAAGTCACTATTTCTGCTGACATGTTAATGTCAAACAGTACATTTTGCTAGATACTTGTTCTGGCAACTTTACTCTTCCTCATAGCATATGGACTTGCCAAGGCAATCCAGACCTCTTCAGTTTCTCCTCCAACTGCCATTACAAATGAAGCTATGGGGTGTGCCCGGATACAATGGAGTTGATTTTCTAAGATTATTTGGAGCATATCTATGAAATGCCCAGCCCAGGAAATACATCCTGTATTCATGCTGATCTATCTTGATAGAGTTTTTATCAATTAGATTTAATTTTAAATGCCTGTACTACAAAACAATAGAGGCTATTATGATGTTATATATTTATATTTTCATTCTTTTTCTTGAGGTCTTTACTACCAGAATTATTAACTTTATTGATTTATTACATATGTATAGCTGCCCTTCTCACATAGTTACTCTTTAAAGCAGTGCTTCTCAACGTTTGTGTGACGGCGACCCCCGTCACACAAACGTTCTGCGCATGCACCGGGCCGCGCACATGGGGGTGGGGCCCCCACGCACGGCGCGCATGCGCGGCGGCGCCCCATGCGTGATGCGCATGCGCGATGGCCCCCCCCACACAGCCCGCGTGCACGGCACCCCCATGCGCGACGCGCATGCACAACGCCCCCATGCGCGACGTGCATGCACGGCGCCCATGCGTGACGCGCATGCACGGCGGCGCCCCCATGCACGGCACGCATGCGCGGCGGCGCCCCCATGCGCGGCGCGCGTGCACGGCACCACAAAAATGGCGGATCGCCGCCTTTGGTGACCCCCGAAAAATGGGCGATTGACCCCAAATGGGGTCGCGACCCATAGGTTGAGAACCGCTGCTTTAAAGTGTACATAATAAAACCATCAAACTAATAAAACCATTAAAACAACCAATTTAAACTTTAAAACAAAAATAAAAAATAGAATGGTGGCAAAACATGCAAAGAGTACATTCAATTAACAGTCATATGGCCATCTAGCAGGTTTGATTTTATCATGGGATTCCTAGGCTAGTTGACAGAATGTTCTAATTTCCTTCCTTCCTTCCTTCCTTCCTTCCTTCCTTCCTTCCTTCCTTCCTTCCTTCCTTCCTTCCTTCCTTCTTTCCTTCCCATCCCTTCCTTTCCCTTCCATCTTTCTTTATGAAAATCCTACTCAGAATCATCATAAACATACTACGCACATACACACAAAAATCTGTAATCTTTTCTTAGAACAATTTTCCACAATAATCCTGTTGGATGGGGTACGAAGAGGCTTCTGAACATTGTATTTTCCAACTTTCTTTCCTCTGACTCATTCCAGGAATGTCTCCCTAGGATAGTTAATAAAAATGGCCAGGCAAAGGAAGAATCACAATATAACTGGAACACGTTTGTAGCATGTTTTTTGCCCAACTGCTTGCCTTCTCTCCTCTTCTAAGATCATACTCAATAGGCCAGTTATTATTTTAAAGAGCTCTATAAATCCCAAATTTAATGCATCAATGAGTAAGCAAACAAATAAACAAACAGCAAAATACTTGCAATAAACCTCAGCAGAAACTTATATTAAAGAAAAAAGAATAAATAGGAAGAGTCAAAATATTCCTTTTCCTATTCAAAGGAGTATATTTAGTGACTTTCACCCTCAAAAATGTTTCGAAATTAAAGATTTTGCACATATCAAAATGGTCTATGTCACTTGCTTGTGGAATATAGATGCTTTCTTACTATAAAAACTTAAAGGCAAGATAGAGGCAATTCTTACTTCAAACTCAAAGATAATGAATAATAGCTTCTATCTAAATAGAGGAACTGTTATTTCTGTAAATCTTAGCTATGAAACAATAAAACAGACATAATTTCATTCTAAATCTGACATTTTTAAGTTAGAGTTTATAGAAATTATTTTTTGAGAAATGAGAAACTGTATTTAAAAATGATCTAAAACCAGGTATTGTGGCGCTGGTGGACGCGCGGAGAGGAGCGCTTTCTCCACTGTCCAGTTTTCCTTTGTCGGGAGACCCTGAAAAGGGCCAAAAGTCACCCTGGAGGGGTGACGACTGTGAGGAGGACCCTCGACAGATCGCAGAAGGGCGGCAGCACTTCCGTTTGATCCGAGGCAGCTCCTTTGGACCAACAGAGAAAAGATCGGCCATCAACATGGCCAATCACTAAGCTGTACCAGCCGAAAGCCAAAATCACCACCAAGCACAACGAAAGCACTGCGGAAGAATTGGGTGAGACCTTACCTTACCTTTCTTGTATCCCAACTATCTTCCTGTAAAAGCCTCTTGAAATTTCTTCCCCCCTTTTAACCTTGCAGTGTCTGCCTACTTTGGGAAAATAAAGCTTTGAAAAGAAAAGAACAACTAAACTAAACAATTAAATAACTGGACTTGCTCTTTTTGGATATATAGGGTCCCAAAAAGTTCCCATTTCTACGGGGACCTATTACCTTATCTACTTGTTAAGTTGGAAAAAAAAATTTTAAACTGGATAAAAGCCTAACTTGAGTTTGGAAAACTATTGGGGACATCTTCTGGCGAAGCCTGGTATAGCAAGTGAATTTCTTTGATTGTGAGACCTGCTAACTGCCTAGATTTGTCCTTGGTACTATCTAAAAAAGATAAGAATTTGAAATAGCTGGGTGGTGAAAACAACTTCTAGGAATAATGGAGGCGGACATTCACTGAGTTTTATCAAAAATAGTCTCCACTAAAGGACTATCTGTAAACACATAGAAATGGAGGAATATTACCCACAACTTAATTATACTTATACTTGAAAAAATCCTTGAAGCTACTGGATTCAAGATTGAAAGACAAAGGTGCCACTTTAAAGTTACAAAATGAAGCCCAGATTTCAACTGATGAACTTACAATCCAAAAAGCAACAGAAGAGGAACAAATTAATATCAAAGAAGACTTTAAAGAACAAGCATAATCTACTGAGAACTTTGATAGTTAAACCTTGATTTCAACTAAAAAATCTGTAATTCAAAAAGCAACAGAATCCGAAGAAAGCAACACTAAGATGGAGGGTGCTAAAGATCAACAAGTACAGCATATTGAGAACCTGGATAACCTAGACAATCCAACAATAATCACAATATTGGACATGACCTCTTACTCAAGCCAGATGAAACTGGAAGAAGAAGACCAGACTGAACTGACGACAAATATTCTAAACCAAACATGGAGATTTGAACTATTATGGCAACAATCCAATGACTATAAAGGGGCCAGTTCCTTTGAAAAATTGGTAACTGGATGGTCTCCCTTGATTCAAATTACATGTGTAGGAACGAAGGGAGATCCACTTGAGGATCTAAAGCAGGCATGTCAAACTCGTGACGTCACGTGACATCGCATGACGTATCATAGCTTTTTCTCCATTGCCAGGAATGGGGTGGGCGCAGTTTTAGGATGACGCTGGCCGGCAGTTTGACATGCCTGATCTAAAGGCACTGGTATGGAAGCCTGCTTGGCACAAAAAGAAAGCTAGAGTTAGACTTAAAAAATGGGATTTTTTTATACTTTTTTGACCTATAATGGAAGAGCCTAAAATCTTACTTAATGGGCTAAGGAGATTTTAAAAGATATTAACTGATTTAATATTTGGGACTTAGATTTATAAGGGAAATGAAAATTAGTTATTAGAATATAGTTTTGAATTATAATACAGAAGTTGGATTGAGATAATAAAGGATACTTCATTAGTAAGTGATGAGGTACTAGGATGAGAAATACAATATATTTGTGAAATAAAGTAAGAATGTATTTAAGTAAACAATATGTATATTTTAGATATGACAACTATTTTGTAATGAAATAAGGGAAATTTGGGTTACCCGAAATCTAAATATTATGGATATTAAAGGCTAAATTGGAATACTGTAATTGAAATTAGGTAAACTTTAAAAACAGGACACGGATATGTATAAGTTAAAATATATTGATAAATGCCCTAATTGATTGAGTTATAATTAGAAATGTATTAATTTGAATGTGATATAATAATCAAGGGAAATAGAGAGGAAATTTTTGATGATGTAACCTGAGACATATACGAAAGATTTTGTTACTGGACTATTGACTACCCAATAACCACGCTGCTTCCTAAATACTTGGATGTAAAACTTAAAAACTAATAAAACTTGTTTAAAAAAATGATCTAAAACCAAAAGTTTTATTTTCTTCCTTTCACATACATAGGACGCCAGCACCTCTGACTGACATTATGTTTTTTGGGGGGTTGATTTAATAAAAAAAGTATCTGCTAAATCAAGGCAAATGCAGATACATATGCTAAAGGTTTAAATGTAGACTGAATCCACATTAAGGATAACATATTATAACTGCTGACGTTTCCTCTTTCTGTAGTACATCACTATGACCTGATACATCTTATTCACTGGACAAATTTCATTGTTAGCCTATGCAGTGGGAGAAGATAATTCTGATTTGCTGTGTACCTCCTGGTTTTGGGAGGCAGCATCTCTTCAAACTGAAGATATCAGTTCCAGATTTTAGAATACAGCCTTTGAGAGCATTTATTAGTTCTTGGACACTAGGAAACTCTTGCTCCCAGCCTTCAAGTACAAAGGAATTTCCTTTCCTCTGAATCCGGAACTGTCTATGGTTTGCATTACCTTGGGTACTGATACTCTGGTGAAAAAAAAAAAAAGGAAAAAAGTTAGAGATGGATACCTTTTTATATGATTAGTCAGTAGCATGTTCTGAAAGTAGCTTACCATGATTCTAACAAGAAATCATTTCCATGGATAGTTGGAAGGTATAACTTAGTGGATAACATTGATTTTTAGAATGGTACATATGGTCCACCTTCCTTTTCTGAAATTCTCAAATCAGGGAGTTACAAATGCTACATTACCTTATGTTCTCATATACAAAGTTTAACGTATCTTTCAACTTCACTTTCAGGGAAGAGGATGGTTTCTCTATTTTTACGTAATGTATGTTTTCTATTTATATTGACCACAAAGAGGCAGTACAGGATCACTTTCATTCTATTTGGGATTCATCAGGGTACTATCAGGCATACTTTTTTCTGAGGTTCAAACCTGCTAACAGAAATTGAATTCAATTCCTGGTAGAGAGTTTGAACTCCACAGAATCCTACAGAAAGATCTTTGGCTACCTATGTTCCAAACAAGACAAAGCTTGTCATGCACTTCTTTAGTCCACATTAGTGGTAGAACACATTTTTACAGGAGCAGAAGTTTCCACATGGTGCTAGATAAGATTATGTCTGAAAATTTGGTCGGTTATTGTGATAAAAACTAATTATCTGACTTGATATAAGGCAATTTCCTATATTTACATTAACTGAGGATTTTTGCACTCCTATTTTAGAAACATGCTGCTTTTACATCTAGGAAGTTGCTAAAAGGGGCGTTGTCTTACCTGAACGCCTTTTCTTAGTACGGAGATGGAGAATCCACCAATGGGTTTTCTCTGTCTGCCTGCTCTTGAGACCAAGTAGCCAAACTTGAAATGCCCCCTCTTGCTAGGACAGTGGTTCTCAACCTTTTTAATGCTGCGACCCCCAACCGGTTGTAAGTCGAGGACTAAACCGGTTGTAAGTTGAGGACTATCCAACCGGTCGTAAGTCGAGGACTTTCCCTGCCCGGAAGCGCCGTGCATGTGTGGTGCCGCCCCCTGCGCCAGCCGAGGCATAGCTGGCAGGCGGCAGAGACGGAACAGGCCGACCACCGGCTGGGCCACCAGCTGGCCCAGCCCAAGGGAGGTAAGGCACCCGCCGGGCCCCACGCGCACCAGCAACCCTCTCTGCACCCGCCGGCCTCCCACCTCCCACTCCTGGCCCTCTTTTACTTACATTTTTAATAGTTGCTCAGCAGGGAGGGGTGGAAACTTCCAGACAGCTCGCCTTCGCTGCAGACAACTTGCAGCACCATTTGCAGAATGGGACTTTTGGCGGGCTCAGCAGGGCAGAGACAGCCTGGACAATTCCTATTGGCTTTTGAAAGCCAATAGAATTAGACTCTATTCAAGAGAGTCTATTCTATTGGTTTTCAAAAGCCAATAGAATAAAAAGGAGTAGCACAGCTAAGGAAAAGGGGAAAAAAATGGCGGACTGCGTTGTTTGACGACCCCCGTGAAATGGTCGTTCGACCCCAAATGGGGTCCCAACCCACAGGCTGAGAACCGCTGTGCTAAGAGATCCAGTCTTGACGAGGGCGAAAGTGGCTGAAGGTGGATGAGGTCTTGGCTCTCAATCCCTTAATATCGGCCTAACTGACCTAAAGGGTAGGTGTGGATTCTCCATCTCCGTACTGAGAAAAGGCGTTCAGGTAAGACAAAGCCCCTTCTCCAATACAGGAGACAGAAAATCCACCAATGGGACATACCAAAGCCTCACTGTCCCGATGGGTGGGAAACACATAAGGCTGGATCTATGTCCCCGGAGACCACCTGCTGAAGGACTCTCCGACCAAAGGAGGCATCCACGGAAGGGAAGCAGTCAATCCGGTAATGGCGTACAAATGGGGAGGGCGAGGACCATGTCGCAGCCCTGCAAATCTCCTCGATGGACGCCTGAGTGGCCCATGCCGCAGATGCCGCAGCGTCGCGAGTAGAACGGGCTGTAATATGACTTGGAGTCGGCAGGGAAGAAAACTGGTATGCCTTGTAGAAAAGGAGAAGTAAGTAGGAAGGTTGAGGAGAAGGAGGAGAGGGGGAGAGTGAGGGGAAAAAAAACTGGTATGCCTTCGCGATATAGGACCTGATCCACCTGCCTATAGTGTCAGCGGACACCTTTTGTCCCAGAGAAGCCAGACGGAAGGAAACAAAGAGGGCCTCAGATCTGCGAAAAGGCTCCGTGTGTTTGATGTAATGCCGCAGGGCCCTGCGGACGTCCAGTGTGTGCCACTGCCGCTCCAATTCATGGGAAGGACTGGGACAAAAATTTGGTAAAATGACTTCCTGTGCCCTATGGAAGAGTGAGTTTACCTTGGGCATGAAAGCGGGATCCAACCGAAGGACCACCCGATCTCGGTGGAAGATGCAAAGGTCATTCCAGACCAAGAGAGCAGCTAGTTCGGAGATATGTCTGGCTGATGACGATTAAGAATGCAACTTTAAGAGACAAGGCCCATAATGGAATAGTAGCAATGGGCTCAAAGGGCGGTTTTGTTAGAGCACGAAGCACCCGAAGCAGATCCCAAGAGGGGTACCTGTGTATCCCTTGATGAAGGCACGTATTCCAGGGTGATGAGCTAAAGGAACTGAATCCGCACAAGTGAGCAACGTTGACAGGGCCGCCACCTGCCTACAAATGGTTGCAGGGGCCAGGCCTCTGTCCAGGCCGTCCAGAAGATAATCTACGATCTGAGGGATGGTTAATTTGTAGACCTCCAGTTGTTGCCTTCTATACCAATGGCAAAAAGTTTTCCAAGTAGAATCATAAATGCGATTGGTCGCCAGGTGACAAGAGGCCTGAATCATGGTAATTTCACGTGATGAAAATAACTCTTGCGTCATGATGCTGTGCTCAAGCGCCAGACGGTCAACTGCAACCACTGAGGGTCCGGGTGTTGGAGGACCTCCTGGTGCAAGGACATGCAACGCAGAGGAATCTTCCATGGAGGGGACCGGGAGAGATTCATCAGGTCGGCAAACCAGGGCCTCTGTGGCCACGAGGATCACTTCCACCTGCTCCTGGAGCAGTTTATGGATGGTTGCCGGAATGAGCGGGAAGGACGGAAGGCATAAAGGAGACCTTGTGGCCATGGGGACCGCAAGACGTCCATCCCCTCCACCACTGGAAGGTAATAAGGGAGAAGTACCTGGGGAGTTGGGCATTGCCTGACGATACAAACAGATCGAGGATCGGCTGGCCGAACCTGTGGGCGATTTCGGAAAAAAGGTCCGGATGCAATCCCCATTCCGAGGGGTCTACCGTAGAGTGACTCAGAAAGTCTGCCTGTTGGTTCTTGACCCCCAAGATGTGTTCTGCCCTGAGAGAGGCCAGGTTGGACTCTGCCCAGGAGGCCAGTAGTCGTGCCTTGGACATAAGGGACTTGGACCTGGTGCCTCCCTGCCGGTTCACGTGGGCCTTGGATGCTATGTTGTCCGTGAGGATCAAGACGTGATGGCCCCTAATCCAGTTTTGGAATTGGCGAAGAGCCAAGTGGATGGCCCTGAGCTCCAGCCAATTGATGTTGTGTCGCAAGTCTGCGCGGGACCAATGGCCCTGCGCAAACTGAGACTGTAGATGGGCACCCCAACCGAATAGACTGATGATGCGGTAATGGTGATGCGGTCCGGCTCCTTGAAAGGTAAATCCCTGGTCACCGCTTGTGAGAACCACCAGCATAGAGACCTGAGGGTGTGGACCGGGAGCCTCACCTGGCGGTTGGATGCGCTGGCATTCACTCATTGGAATGGCAGGAGGAACCATTGAAGATCCCGCAAGTGGAGTCTGGCCCAGAGGACTATGGCTATGCAGGAGACCATCTTTCCCAGAAGTTGGGAGAGTAGGACCAGTGGAACGGTGCGGTCGTACACCCAACGAGCCAAGTCCTTGATGCTGATCAACCGCTCCTGGGAGAGATAGACCAGCTGAAAGGGATGCCTGCGGAAATAGGGAGCGGGATGTTTGTCAGCCCGTTTATTCAAGTGAGCCATGACCTTCCACTTGTCCTTGTTTTCTACAAGGTACGGGGCCAGGACCTCCCCAAAAAGATTGTTGCCCAGATAAGGGGCAGTTGCAAGACACCATTTGGCTTTGGCGTCAGCCTGCCAGTGTTTCAGCCATAGCATCCTTCTGGCTGTAATGTTGGATGCTAGAGACCTAGACGCAAAGTTGGCTGACTGAAGTGTCGCATCCGCAGCATACTCAGTGGCCGCCACCATTTTGCTTAGGTCCTGGTGAGTCCGAATGTCCTCAGCCGGGACTCTGGCTTGAAGCTGACGAAGCCATAAAAGGGTGGCTTTGTGAAGCAGGGGAAGAAACAGGGTTGGATTGAACAGGCCTCCCGATGGGGAGGGTTCAGGGGGAAGTTCCTTCTTCTCTGATAGATTAAAGTCTGGCTGCTCCTCACCCTGCGGGGATGAGTATCCACTCATGGAGGAGTGTGCAGGAGATGTGGGTTCCTGAAATATAGGGAACCCCGTAGGAGGTACATAAGGTGGCATGGCTGACGTGGAAGCCCCCTGTCTGGGTGGATGGAAGGACCGTTCTGTTAGAGCCCGGTCCACAATCCTGGATAACAAGGCCTCAAGGCAACCATCAGAGAAAATGTCTCTGAACTCTGGTCCCGAGCCCTGCGGCTGTTGGCGTGAAGGTGGCCTCTGGAGCTGAACCCGAGACAGTTGCTGTGTGTTGGACCAATTCAAAAGGGGAACTGAGTGTGGCGGGCATCCCTGTGAGAGACCACACGCCCTGAGCCGAGGTTGAAGGACCTAAAGGAAGGTCAAATTCAGGGACCGCCATTTGACCCTTCTCCAATCCGGTCTGTCTCTGCACTCTGGAGAACTCCTTCTCCAGAGCCTGGTGCCTACGGCTGGCTTGCTTTTCCGCCAACTTGGAAGGCTTCTTGAGAGTTGCCTTAGCCTTGGATTTGAGCTTGCCTGCCGCCTCCTGATCAGAGATTTTGTGCCGACCGTAACTGGAGGATGGGGAGGCAGTGCTCATGGGTTGAGGCATCATGGAGTCCTCCATCCTGGTTGAGCTGTCTCAGGGAAACTGAGGAGAAGCTCTGGCAAGCAAGCGGTTGGCAGAAGCGAAATTGGAGCAAGTAACAAAGACTGCTCCCCTGACCACCTGACCAGAAAACACTATCTGGGCTTTGGTCACGACACTTGAGTCAGATGCCGAAGGCACGGTTGGGGACCCGCTCTGGGCTCCGCCCGGAGGCCTTAGGTGGCCAGTCAAGGTGCACCAGACAGCCCAATGAAGGGCGCAGAAGGCCTAAAAGAAGGTCTGACAGAGGCAATGTGAATTCAAAATGGCGGCTCCAAAAACAAGATGGTGGCCTGAGTCTTTGAGCCTAGTCTGTGAATTATTAGGGCTATAAATAATGATGCAGTTAATGAGACCTAGTGGAAGTTCTTAGATGTGCTGAGAAGTAGTCACGGCCTTGTGGGAAGTCTTGGGGCCTGTAGTCAGTGCTGGGGGTCTGATGTATAGGCCTGAGGGAGGGCCTCATGATGTTCCCAAGATGGCAGCTGCAATGTGCTCTGCCAAAATTCCTGGGATGACAAGGTTGTGTGAGGGGCCTGGAGTCCTGAGGGAAGTCCCTGTAGCATACAGAGGCCTTCAGTGCTTAATCCGACTAATGCAAGTTTGCAAAGCTGGCCGTGTGGCGTGCCCAAAATGGCGGCTGTGGCGAACTTCGTTGCAGCTTCCTAGAATCGCAAGGGTATGTTGAGATTCCTGAAGCCCCTGCCTCAAAACCTTAGAAAAGGGCAAATTAATTACCTGCAGAATTTGTTTTTGACTACAAAGGGAACCTCCGTTAAGCCTGTGAGTTTGGCAGCTATCCAAATGGCGGCCGCGACTTTTGGGCCGTTAGAAACAGCCTCTGGAGGTGTCGAGGACGAAGGAGAACTCTGGGGTGATTGTGGCTGCAGCGCTGAGCGCTGCGCAGGAAGGCCGATGGGGGAACTGGCAAGGAATTTTTCTCCCCTGCCAGAGCCCTGGGGAGATAAACAGAGAAGTGCTTCCCCCCCACCCCACAAGCCTCAAATCAGCTGATTTGAGGCAACGCTGATTCCAGCGTTTCTCGGGAAAACGTTTGGGGAAAAACTCTTTGAAATGAGATCACTAATTAGGGAATGCACAAATACAAAGATTGAGGCAAGGAGAATTCAACAATGGGTCTCTGACCTGCTAAATTGAAGTGAAGATCTCTAAAACCTGAGAGCCAAACCTGATATGTCTTCAAGGGCTTGAGACCACGTCAAGACTGGATCTCCTAGCAAGAGGGGGTGTGTCAAGTTTGGCTACTTGGTCTCAAGAGCAGGCAGACAGAGAAAACCCATTGGTGGATTCTCCATCTCCTGTACTGGAGATTGTATTATTTACTTATCTTTAAAAAATCCTCAGAACATTAAAACAAAAATTTATGTAGCTTTCCTCTAGCTTGCACTCTATAGAGCCATGGACATTTGATCCCAGAATTCTCAACAATATTTATTGGCTGGGATTTCTGAAAAGCAAAGTACACATTCAGAGAATACAAGCTTAGGAAAGCTGGTTTACAGAATCAAAAAATCCCACTACCCTGCTCCCATCTCTTACTTGGCCATTATTCAGTATTGATAGAATCAATCTGTTGAAATCAAAGACACTCCAACGAAGGGCATACAGCCCGTCTTCTTGCCCTTCACGCTTCAGCTTAGCCAGAATGAACTCTTCCCTAGGAAGAGAAAACGTACATATGATGTGGAAGCTCCCTCCTTTCAAACCAGATCATGGAGGACAGGAGGCTTGATTACTTACTGCATGGGTCCATGTATGCCATTCTGGATGCTCATAACCAATCGCGGTGGGGCAACTTCATGACACAGATAATGGCTAGAATCAGCTGTTAATCTGAAGTAACCATCTACTAATGAAATCAAGGAGAGAGCAGCTTCATGGGATGACAGAGTCAAATCCTGTATTTATTTATTTTTTTAAAAAAAGGAAAAGCACAATTGTTAGTCCTGAGTTACAGGGCCAAAATAAAAGCCCACAAGAAACTGTACATTTTATTCAGGGAATCTGTACAAATGTGTTGCTATTTGTTACCAATATTTTTGCTTACACATCCTCCTCTCCAATTCAGTTAATACCACATTCTCTGCCTTATACAGAGCCATCAGATTTAATATAGATAAAAAATGACCAGCTCCAGCACAGTAAAAATAATTTGAACTACATTTAACTTTCCATATTCATGTTTTGTTCTTTGATTATCTATAACATTCATCAAAAAGACATGTCATAACTCCATACAAAAATTGTGTGGAGGACACACTCTCACCTACCAGACACTTATTATCTTGGCGATGAATACTGATGTTGCAGTCTTTGACGACAATATGTGTGATCTCTTGAAAGTCACAAAAGTGTGCCCATTCAGTTTCACGTGGCTCCACTGGTTGGTAGGCCTGCTTGGACTTGTGGTCCTTAGTCTTGACTTTTCTCCCAAAATAGATTTTATGAGGCTGACTTTGTAATTTCTGCAAGAAGAATTTTAAAGTGAGTTTTGAAATCTTTGGCAGTGATTCTGTCATGGTTCCGATAGATGAAACCCATCAAAAGAACTTCAAGGCAATAATTCTTCTTTAAAGAACATTTTATTCAGGAAACCAAGTATTGGCACTACATAGTTGAACCCAAAAACTAAATTCCCTTCCCCTGGGTACAAAGTAACAAAGTGCAATTCCCACTCCAATAAGCTGTCATAAATCACATTCTCCAATTAGCCTGAAACGCTGGCTTTCTCCCCAGCCCGCCAAAATGTTATCAGCTTGTCCTTGGGTTCCCACAAGCAGCATTATTATTATGGCTAGCTGAGCTTTCATCCCAACCCCCCCTCTTCTGCATCTGATTTCTAAATACCAGAAAAAGCATGTTAAAAGCAAATAGAAAATGGCTTGTCAGAGCAGGAATATCCAATGTTTACAGCAGTGGGGATGAACCTATGACACGGGTGCCAGAGGCGGCACTCAGAGCCCTCTCTGTGGGCACGTGTGCCGTCGCCCCAATACTAGGCCTTCAGCTGGGTTTTACAAAACCTTTTTTGCTTTAGGCCTCCCCCGCCGTGTGCAAAAAAAACCAAACGTTCAATCAGTCAATTTCAACCTGTTGCGGGGAAAAAAAATCTTGCAAAGTTGAAATTGATTGATTGAACTTTTTAGTCCCACCCAGTCTGCTATTACCACTGCAGCCACGCCCACCCAATGGGCCACACCCATCCAGCACTTGACGATGCATAAGTGGGTTTTGGGTTGCAGTTTGGGCACTCAGTCTTTAAAAGGTTCACCATCACTGGTTTACAGCGTTGACAGATTCTAATATAATTATGTTACAGTCTTTCTATCAATAAGCCTTAATATACCATCTTCCAAAGATGCAGAATCAAGGTATCCATTCCCTTGCATATACCTAATACATTAAAAATTTGAATAATTACACTTTATTCTTCACTTGCAGAAATTTAGGACTTTATAAGCCATACTACAAACATGGTCTTCAAGGTAATCTGGATCTGCATTGTCTACAAGTTGTAAATTAAGCTGTCAATTGGGCTATTGCTGAACTTCCGCTATTAAGGAACTAGTATGTAGGTGATCATGCTATTATAGGGGAGAATAATTCAAAACAGGAATAGCAGCATAACACCTTTATAAAAGCAAATTAGCTTTTATGAACTTTTATAAACATGCTTATAAACTTATATAAGCATGTTTTGAGTTCACCAATCTATAGCCCGAACGTTAGATAGAAGTCAAGTAGAAAGAAAAGAATGCTTATAAAAAACCCCAGAATTCAATGGCTTGTTAGTAATATCAAATATGTGATCTATGCAGAAGCTGTTTTGTTTCTCATGCCCTTTAACTTTTTTTTAAAAAATTAGGTGAATATTAAACTGCATTTGCTTAAAGCTTTATTTTGAACTGATTTTGACTGTTATTAAGAATTCTATGTTAATTAAGATTCAAGTTTACAAAAGTGTAAAGAGCATTTAAAGGATTTTTTTGCTATAAACATGAATAAGGGGACATCGATGTCTATGGTTTGGGATGTCAGTAAGGCATTTATGAGGGGAATTTTGATTCAATTGAATAAAGTTTTTAGGGAAAAAGGGTTACAAAGACGTAGAGAAATAGAAGAAGAGATTAAACTAAAAGAACAAGAGTTGGTTCTTAACCCAACTGATAATAATTTAAAGGTATCCATAAAGATGCTTAAGGAACAATTTAACATGTTGATGGCAGATCAGGTGGCTACTAATCTGTCATATATGAGACATAATACTTTTTGTAATGCGAATAAGCCTGGGAGGTGGTTGGCTTATCAGTTACGAAAGAAACAGAAAGCTAGAATTATAGAGAAAGTAAAGTATAAAGGTACTGAGGTTTTTCAGCAAGATTTGATTAGAAAAAGTTTTTTGGATTTTTATACAAAATTATATTCAAGTGATAACATAAAGGGTTTTGACATAGATAAATATTTACAATCAGAACATTTTCCTAAACTCTCAGAGGAACAACAAAATGGGATGAATAGCTTAATTACTGTGGAGGAAATTGGTTTAGCTATTAAGCAGTTAAAGGTTGGAAAGTCTCCTGGAACAGATGGATTGACTTCAAGGTATTATAAGATTTTATCTGAAGAAATGATAGGGCCATTAAAGGAACTCTTTAACAGTATTTTGTTGGGTATGCAAGTTCCTCCTTCTTGGAAAAGAGCTTTTATATCATTGATTCCGAAGGAAGATCAGGATCTTACAGAACCTAAGAATTATAGGCCAATTTCATTATTAAATGTTGATTATAAGATTTTTACAAAAATTCTGGCAAATAGACTAATGCAGGTTATGAAAGATTTGATTCATAGTGATCAAGCAGGATTTATAACAGGGAGATATATGAAACATAATGTTAGACAAATTATTAATTTGAGTACTTGGATAAGAATAACCAGATTCCTGTGGCTTTTATCTTTTTGGATGCTGAAAAAGCTTTTGATCAATTAGACTGGCAATTTTTATTTTTATTGGTAGAGAAAATGAATTTTGGGGATAATTTTTTACATGCACTTAAAGCTATATATCAGCAGCAATCTGCACAAATTGTTGTAAATGGGGGACTGACTGAGAATTTTAATATTCAAAAAGGGACAAGACAAGGATGTCCATTATCCCCATTGTTATTTGTTTTAACATTGGAAATTTTATTGATTCAGATTCGAGAATCAAAGTTAATCAAGGGTGTAAAGATAAGGAAGAAGGAGTATAAATTGCGGGCATTCGCGGATGATTTGGTTTTAATTTTGGAACAACTGAATCAAGCGATTGATGGTTTATTAGAACTTATAACACAGTATGGGAAGGTTTCTGGTTTTAAAGTTAATAACTATAAGACCAAGATATTATCTAAGAATATGTCAGTTAAAGAAAGGGAAAGTTTGATTAAAGGCACAGGTTTTCAGATGGTAAAAAAGGTTAAATATTTGGGAGTATATCTAACTGCTTCAAATGGAAAATTGTATAAGAACAATTATGAACCATTATGGGCAAAAGTTCAAAAGGACTTAAGAGATTGAAAAAAATTGCAATTGTCATTGTTGGGGAGAATTTCAGCCGTAAAAATGAATGTTCTACCAAAGTTTCTTTTTTTGTTTCAGATGATACCTATTTTTAAAAAAGAGGCAAATTTGGAGGAATGGCAAAAGGGTATCAATAATTTTATATGGGCCGGGAAGAAACCAAGGGTTAAGTTTAAGATATTACAGGATGTTCGAGAAAGAGGGGGACTTAAGGCACCTAATTTGAAATTATATTATGATGCAGCCGCCTTAACTTGGTTAAGTGATTGGCTTAACTTAACAAATATGGATATTCTTTTTCTGGAAGATTGGGATTTAATATATGGTTGGCATGCACACTTAATTTTTAATAAGAAAGTCAATCGGACTTTTAAATCACATATTTTGAGGAATGCCTTACTTCGTGTTTGGAAAAAGTATTATTATAGATTAAATTATAAAATACCTATCTGGGGGATTCCCAGACATGCAATTGAGGGAACCTTTAAGGGGATAAATTTTGATAAAATCTCGTATAAAGAATTGTTAATTTGCTCTGGTTCAAATTGGCATTTGAAATCCCTAGATGTATTAAGGCAGGAAAATATTCTACAGTCATGGTTTCAATATTTACAAATAGTGGACAGATGGACTGTAGATAAGAAAGAGGGAATAACATTAGAAGATAGACAATTGGTTATTCAGATTAAAAATCAAAGTCCGGCTCATATAAAAAGAATATACAATGTCTTATTAGAGTTAGGCTCGGAAACAGAATTGGTTAAAGATTGTATGATTAAATGGGCTCAGAATATACAGGAACCGATCTCATTGGATTTATGGGAGACAATTTGGACAAGAAATGTTAAATTTACACAAGCTCAAAATTTGAGAGAAAATTTCTATAAAATGTTTTATAGATGGCATTTAGATCCTAAAAAATTATCTTGTATGTATTCCAATATACAGCCCAAATGTTGGAGATGTGGCAATAATGATGCGACATACTTTCATATTTGGTGGAATTGTAAAAAAGTAAAGGCTTTTTGGATTATGATTTGGTGGAACATTCAAAAGATTTTTAGAAGAAAGATAAAGTTTACTCCTCAACTATTTTTACTTGGTATTTTTGTTGACTTAAATGAAAAAGAAACTACTTTGATGTTGAATTTATTAACTGCAGCAAGGTTATTAGTAGGTTTATACTGGAAGAAAGATTCTTTGCCTACTTTAGAAGAATGGATATTTAAAGTATCTAGTTTTGCAGAAATGGCAAAAATTTCTGCTTATTTAAAGGATCATACACAAGAAAGATATATTATTGTATGGAGAAGGTGGATAGATTATATTCAGAAAAAGTATGGAATTAAAAAGTTTCATTTATTTTATGAATGAATATTAAATATTATAGAGAATTGTTTTATAGGTTATGGAGTTAAAGGTTAATTATGACATTTCTTTTCTTTTCTTTTCTTTTTTCTTTTCTTTTTTTTCTTTTCTTTTTTATTATAAATTTTGTTATTATTAACCCTGTATTCTGCTCTGGGAAGTGAAGGGAGGGAGGTTGGGGGTGGGAGGGAGGGTAAGGGGGGGTAAAGATAGTATAGACAATGGTTGCTTATGAATTTATTTTACTTTAAAATTTTATTGTATTTTATAATGTTTGTATGTTAAAAAATAAAAATTTTCAATAAAAAAAGATTCAAGTTGCATTTGACCCAGTTTTCCTGACAAAATCTTTGAAATTTGGACTTTTAATTGGAATGAATAAAAGTAAGCATTCCCAGAGTATTATATGTTAATGAATGTCAAGATGCATGGTATGATCAAAATGTCTTTTTAAAAAGGGTGTTGGAGGAGGGCTTTAATCACCTGGTCACATCTGCTATTTTGATATTGTTAACCAACTTGCCCTCCTGTGTATGTCTCAGGGTATCCCATAAGATCCAGGAATAATACGCTAAGATCTCCAGAATTACATGAAGACGTATCCACAAATAATCCTACCTCTGTAGGGATAGACCGCCACTGAATCCCATTAATGCCTGTGACCAAGACTTCATGTGTGACAGGCCTGCTACCATGAGAAGAGGAATAGAAGTTCTCCAGATGCGTATGACCACCATTGATATAAAGTGGGACCTTCTCACCCTCTGAAACTGTTTCCAGTGAAACAGCGGCAAAGAGCTCAGTCCCAAAACGTGGAGCCAAGTTTTCCAAAGTAGCTAGGTATTTGTGCATGAGATCCTGTTCTGTAAGTTTCCCAGTGCTCAATGTTTGCTGTTGGAAATGTTGCAAGAATTTCTTGAAAACATTCTTTATGCGGAACTTGGTCAAAAAATTGTTCTGCTGAATCTGTTGGCAAAAGGACCGTGGGATGCACTCTTTGAAACTGCAAGGGACATAGACAAACTGGTACCAAGAGCAGCTTTCATAGGTATAAATATATTTCTTCAGTAAAACAAATGACAAAATTAGAAAGATACATAGATTGATAATACATTCCATCCAATCTCCCCCAACATCAGATGATTACTGAAAACTGTAGAAACTGGTAGAGTTCTTGCCCTCCATTTAATTTTTAATTTATTTAATTTACATAGCTGATTTTTCAGCCTTCTTTGAACAAAGTAAACAAGTTTGCTCTTACTTTCTTTTCTTCTCTTTCTCTTAATCTGCCTCCAAATATTATTTTCGTTAAGGCAAATGAGCATTGCTTACCTTACAATTTTGTCTGTAATCATAAATCAATCGTTAACTGATACATCTAACTGCTATTTTTCTATCCAGGATATTCTCTATTATTAGAAAGCACATAATAGATAAAGTTTAATGGAATCATAGCTTGGAATTACAAAATGAGGCTCATTGTTCAATGAAACATATAAAATATATAAAACTATCAGTAGCAGTGTATAAGTTAAAGAATTCCAACACATGTAAGTTTTATGATAGTGTTTTTAATTCAATAAGTAATATGCACAACTCTTTAAAAATAATTTTTGGACCACATGGCTAAAAAGCATATTATTAAACAAAGATGCAGTTTCATAAATAATGACAATACCTTTTTTTCTCTGCCACCTCAAGAGAAATGCCTTTCTTAAGTGCAAGATGACACAGGTGGAGAACAGCCATTCCCAGGCTCTCATTTTTAAATTGATGAATTTCCTGCTCAGTGTGCAGGTCTTTTAAGGAGGCAACATCATTGATGAAGTCATATTTCCCCTAAAAAAAAGAATCATCCAAAATAATATGAAGAAAAGAAACCTTCAAAATAATAGACCTGAGATCTATCTCCTTAGGAATTATTCTTGTTCTCTTACTGGGGATCTAACTCAAATATTACCAAAGACTGGCATAGCAATTTTACATACAATTATACAAAATACTAAACTTTGCTGTAAAAAAATAAGAATGATTACATAATGTGTAAAGAGAAAAACTGCTAGGAATGAAGCCGCAAAGAGAAAGGAATAGTTAAGATGAGAGCATAGAAAATGAACACAAATATTGACAGAAATTTTGGGATAAAAACTGAGATAGGTGACTGCTATAATGCTATTTCAGATATTTCGATGAGAATGCTAGTGATATGTTCAATAAAACACAAGTAATGAATTCTTGGACTGACTCTATATCAGGGATGTCACTCTGCCAGCCCCTGGGCCAGACGCGGCATGCAGAAGCCGCACCCACCCCATTGCTGGCAATGGCAAAACTATCCCGATACATTGCGTGACGTCATGTGACGTTGCGAGTTTAACATGTCTGCTCTATATCATAGTCTACCCTGAAAAGGAATAGGGGAATAAATATGTAAGTTAATAGGTAAAAACTATTAATAGATGCACAACAGTGAAGATAAACAAGAAAGCTCTTCTAGAAGTCATTAGTGTTTGGCCACATATTTGAAATCCAATCCTGATCATTTTCAGTTGTTTTTCAATAATACCTGTCCCAATCTGAAGCTGCCAAATACCATCTCAGTAAAGATCTTTCTTTGCAACAATGGAATTTTTCATCTCTACAATTGCCCATTTCAGTGTTAAGAAGGACCATTTTGATTCAAGTGTAAACAAACATTATTTCCAATTTTTTTTCTCACATATTAAATATATTTTCTAGGTCCAATAGTCAACAGGAAAAGAATGATCTGGTCACATGAATGCTCGAACTAAGCAACTGAACTAGATTTTAGCAAAACTTTCATATTGGACAGGTATTCTTCACATTTGCAATATGGAATAATACTCTTTCCTGGGATGAATCAGATTATTATTAGACAGTTTTACTGTCTGTACAAAATGTAGCTCAGTTTGCTTTCTTTTCCAGCTCTAGCTTGATAGATTCCCTGTTTCATCACAATCTGTTTCATACAGCTTGGTTTTCACGGTGCAATATTTTGTGCAATCACCATTTTTATTTATTCTTATTTATGCAGCCCCGCCATCCCAACATTTCGTGGAGCCTTTCTTCCAGCTACTTTCTCCTGAACTATAACCTACAATGCTCCAGATATATATTAGGCTTAATCCAAATGGATGAACTATCAAAAGAAATGCCATACTTGCTCAAAGAGATAGGCAAATGATGATTTATCCAGGATGGCATTGCCTTGTTCACTCCTATATGACCTGTCCTCTGAGTCAGCTAAGTGAGGAATACTGCGATATATGGCTGGCTCCTTGTCATTTGTCCCGTGCCAGTTTCGGAAATAGTATCTGTATGAGCAACAATAATGCAATCAGTCCAATGGGTCTACAAAGAAATCAATAGCATTTAATATGAAATATTAGTCATTATTACAAATATGAAGCATCTGCATGTCATATTTATCAACATTATTGATAAAATCATAGAATATTTTACTTACTTACTCATTCATAAACCTGAAACTGCCTGAATCTCAACAGCCTTGGGCCAAATCATAGAATAAAGACCTAAGTGGTCATCAAGTCCAACCCCCTGCATGCCTCAGGAGTCACTACACCATCCTCAGTAGATGGCTAATCAATATGTTGAATGAGATCCAAGAATAATAAAAACCCCTTGAGTCCTTCTGATTTGGTAATCATATATGTCTAAACATTAATAAGAACTTTAACAGGGTCTGTAGCACTTCACTTTTTGCAATATTTTAAATGTAACCACTTTAAAATAGTATCAAGAGAGGTAAGTTGCAAAGTGATAAATAGCACTAGTAAGCTCAGCAATGAACTCATTTGTAGTATCAAGCAGTTAGATCCCTAACAACAATATAAGATTAAAATGGTCTACTGCTGGAAGAACAAAGGATATAATATCTACATGTGAGTAATTAAAACAATGGTATATGAATGCTAATATTGCTATATCTATTAGCATTCTAAGAAATAACAAAAGAACAGTGGCACAGTTCTCAAGGGTTAATTCAATTGACAGCTAATATGCATTTCTCAGAAGCCCTGATCAAAGCTATCTTAATATATTACTGCCCTGAACAAACAGTATTGACAATCTTCTAAGAGTTTAACTAAAGCTGCTTGACAAGACTGATTTATCAGTATGTTGCCTGTATACACATGTACTATGGAAACCTAAAGCAACAGACAGGTCTTGTAGATAATGCTTCCAAATAGCTCTCTTAGCTACTTCTCATAGCTACTGGTGTGAATTATTGTAGCTCTGGCAAATTGGTAACATTTATTTAATTCAGTTGTTTCCAAGACAGTAGCAAGAGAGGAATTATGCTGACGACTCATTCTGCTAGCATCCTAGTGCTGCAACAGTTATTTTTCTGAATAGCTTGCCTATAAATATAACCTTAGTAGGCATAATGCAAGCAATATGCCTTTACCCTTGCAAGGTTTATCTTCAATTGAATGCACTAAATTAAAACTACCAGATCTAGAGTGCAAAATTCTGAACAACCGCTAGATGGAAGTAAAGAGATATAGATCTAGTGATCTTGTTGTTACTATTAATAATAATAATACTCTATGAAATTTAGATGCCACTGATTCCCTGTGTCTCCAGTTGGGTGGTTTACAATTGTTACAAATATTTTTAAGAGTTAAAAAAAGACAAAAAAGATAAAAACAACATAAGACAAAAGAACAAAGATGGCAAAGGAAACAGATCTAGGAGGGTACAAGGTAGAGGTATCAGTCCCTGCCAAAGGTCTGGGCAAAGAGCCAGGTCTTTAGGAACAGCAGAGTAGGAACTGTTTTGAAGGGAAACTCATTCCAGAGTTATTAATTACACAACTCTATCCAGGGCAAAGCTCATACACATAGGTATAGATTTCATTATGCACTAAAATATATATCAGAAAGTTTGAATCAGCAGCATTTTAGGTTGCTGTGGATAGAAAGTAGATATTTTTAGGTTTGTGATAGTTACATACTATATTCTGAAGAATAGTGGAAAATGCAAGGTTGAGTTCTAGGGGTGGGAAAATGTTCAACACTCAAAATATGCAAAAAAAATAATTCCGTAGTGAATTGATAGAACAAAATAAGAACATGCAGGAAAAAAAATGAGCCAAGAGACCTCAAAATAAAAAAAACAGTGTCCGACCAGCAACTGTTAGAATTAAGCCTGCCTGTTTGAAATATGCAGTGTAACAATTCAATTCTTTAACCTGAAAGATTCTGACAATTAGAGAGGAGTGATGAAAGGTTCCAAATGTGGGACAGACCATCTATAATGACATGTATTATGTATGTAAATATGTATGTATATAAAAGAGCACATTTCTAGATACAAATCCTTCTAAAGAAAGGGTTTTGATAGAAATCCTTTCTAAAGAAATTTACAAGCTATACAAAACCATAAGCATTCTCTGCATAGCCTCCAGACTCCTTATCATTTTTGTTGCTCTTCTGTGCACTCTTTCTAGAGTCTCAACATCTTTTTTGTATTGTGGTGACCAAAACTGGTCGCAGTATTCCATGTGTGGTCTTACCAAAGCAGTATAAAGCACTAGTAACACTTCATGTGACCGTGACACTATTCCTCTGTGGATGCAGCCTAGAATTGCATTGGCATTTTTGGCTATTGCTGCACACTGCGGGCTCATGTTTAAGTAATTATCCACTAGAACTCCAAGATCTGTCTCACCATTACTGCTATTGAGTCAGGTACCATTTATTCTATACCTGTGCATTTGGGTTTTTTTAACCTAAGTGTAAAATCTTACTTTTCTCATCACTGAATTGCATTTTGTTCAATAGAGCTCAGCACTCAGGTCTGGACCTTGAGCCTATCTTCTCATGTATGGGCTATTCCCCCCAGCTTGATGTCTGCAAATTTAATGAGTTCTCCTTCTTTCCTCTCATGTAAATTGTTTATGAAGATGTTGAAGAGTGCTGGGCCTAAGAAAGAACCTTGGGGGTACCCCACTGTATGCTTCCCTCTGTGTAGATGTAGTTCCATTAAGTACTACACATTGAGTGCAATTGATCAGCCAGTTACAAATGCATCTGGTGGTGGTGCTATCTATCCAACATTTTTCTATCTTACTAAGAAGTAGGTTGTAGTTTATTTTGTCAAATACCTCACTGAAGTCCAGGTATACTATGTCTACATCATGTTGCTGGTTTGCTAATTTAGACACTTTATCAAAGAACGCAATACATTTTGTCTGGCATGATCTGTTTTTGACAAAGCCACGTGAATAAATATATAAATGGTAAGTAAATGTTTATCTAAGGAATTTATATATTGGCCTGATCTTAAGGCAGCACAAAACTAAGAATTATTAATTAATCAGGGAAAATCTTAAGTTTAAATTTTAAACTATTTATTCAAGAGAAGACTTGAATGAATGAAAGCTTTTATCAAGAGCAAGGCTTTATATTTAAAAAACCCAACAATCCTACTCTGGTATTAAATCTATAAATGTTATCTGTATTTACCAATACAGCAATATCATATGAATACTTCAGATTTAGCCAGGCTATTTGCCCCTTGCCTATCAAACTGAAGCAGATTTCCTCTTTCCTTTTACTTTTGACCATAATAGCTGTAGCATAAATTCTGAGAATGTGAAGGAATCTGACATCGCTTTTTCCAGATTAACAAATAGTATCAAAAGGCATAAACTTTCATGATGTTGAGCTAATTTCATTGGATATATGAAATGGTTAAACTGATATAGGATTTAAATTGGGATAAGGGGCAAGGGAAGAGAGACTTACTGCATCTCTATTATGATCCTCTTAAAAGTGTTTTCTTGTTTAAAATGCAATTTCAGTATACCAGATAATTGTGAAAAGTAGGTTAGAGTTACTGAAGGAAAGCCAAAGTAAGAATCACTCTGCTCTTGATTCAGAAGAGCAAACAAAAAACTGTTCTTCATTCTGTACAACGCTTTCAGGAAGAAATAGCTAACTGTTTCAAAACATGTGGTCAAACCACATTGACCAAGAAACACACAAATGCAAGGCTGCTATGAAACTAAAGCTGCAGTAGCATTTGATGGAGTTTTTCATTATACTAATGGCCTACTTTTGAGTCACTGAACATTATAATTTTATACAAAACTTTATTATTCAGTATAATAATAAAAAAGAATATCAATACAACTGATACACACACACATACCTAGTACTTCTGGAAAAAAGGAGAATTATGGATTTTGAATACAAATGCATAATATTCTTGGCACTCAGAATACACAAAGCAAATAAGACTCTCCATATGTCATAGTGCTGCATTAAAATATTATTCAATCCCAATCATTCTACTATATTACAAATAAAAATAATACCTCAGGTTCTCTGACCTCATAAACATGTTTTGAAGAAAGCCATTTTATTGCATTTTTGAAAAGCCTGAAGGGTTATACTCAAGTATATTTCCTTAGACAAATTACTTTATTTAGTATGAAAAAGAAAGGCCTGTAACAAAATACTGCAGAATAATCCCATTTCTAAAAAAATGTATTTATGATTAATAAAAACAAAATTACCCCAAATGAAATGACTCAAACAGCAGCAAATCTGTATTTAATACTGATTGCAACTTTTAAATATCTTTTTAAAAAAGAACTTGAATAGACTTCCAACCATCTTCAAGGAAACAATTCAATGAAGAATTCCATAGAACCAGTGGCTCTTCTAAAAACCCACTTGTTTTGATTTAATCTCACAACAATGACAAGATATAGAAATGATCATCTAAATGAGACTTCCAAAGGAAGAAATGGTGGACTGAAGATGACTCTGCAAAAAGCAGAACCAAAGAACAAGCAGCCAGTGAGTAGACCACCTCTTCAAATCTTTCTGAATAAAGAAAAAACTGGAGACTGCCCACTTGCTTGCTCCACATGAGGAGACCACAAGATAGCAGTCTCTGACAAGTTTTGAGTACTAGGAAACAAGGGAATAGCTATTTTGTTCAGACTATAGCCAGCACCTTTAAAAGGATACTAGTTTGCATATTTCCTTTTCTAATCACATTCAGAAATTGCTTAACTACTTTTCAGCTATTAGAAATCTTTGGACTGACAAGTCTGAAAACACCAGGTGAATTTGCCTCCAATAGTTCATGAACGAAAAATTCAATTACAAGCTTAAGAAATTAATCACTTTGAAATAAATAGCAAAAACTTAATTAAGATTTTGATTTTAGCAAGCTATGCACAGATTAAGGTTCCAGATAAATTTGAAACAACATTTTGGAATTAACTTAAGAATCTTTCCTGTGTAGAAGCAAATTTTATTTCTAGGAATAGATTGTGTCCAAAAGATGTTTTGGAAGAAATCATAGAAAAGGAGCAACTGAAAATGGATCTTACAAATGAGAGGCTACAAAAACGACATGGAAAAAGAAGTTTCATTGGTCATACAAAAGATATCAGTTGATGTTTAAAAATCAAAAGAGAATTATAAATAATAAACTATAAGAGTGACTTGGATAATTCTTTTATATTGGATTTACAAGAGAGGTTTGGATGAATTTTGTCAGAAGGTAACAAAAGAAATGAAAAAGAAATCACATTTTATGACATTATTTGAATGGACTAAAAAATAAGGAATATAAAATTGGTTTATTTGATTAAAGTTGAAATAGATATTTATTTCAGGCAACCTTAATGGATTTTACTGACATCAGGATTGAAATGATAATGCTTTGGGTTTTAGGTAAACTTGTTTATATGTTAAGATGAAGTCCAGAAATCACATTCATACATACATACACATACATACATATATATATAGTTACTTTTCTTTTTCTGTTTTTTACATTTTTTCTTTTTCTGTTCCTTTGCACTGTTTACTTTCTACTTTTTTTTCTTTTAGTTTTTACTACTGCACTTATCTTTAATAAAATTATTTTAAAAAGACAAAATCATAAATCAAAATCATTAATCATTATTTTCTGTTTCATGCAAAAAGTCTATAATGGTTTTCCAGTCAGCAATAAAGGTAGATATTTGTCTTTTATCTGATCAAAGACATTAATTTAACCATTTCAGCAAGTTCTATCATCTTACCAATCATACCTTCATTGCGGGTAATGCAGAATCTTTTCATCTTTGTACATGCAATAATCTTACTGCAGTTATATAGAAAAAAAAGCTTCCTGACTTTATTCCAAATATTTCTGCATCACTCCTAAAAGAAAAACCTCTGGTTTTGGAGGTCTTCTTGTCCAACCCCCTGCTCAAGTAGGAGACCCTATACTATTTCAGACAAATGGCTGTCCAGTCTCTTCTTAAAAAAATTCAGTGATTGAGCATCCAAAACTTCTGAAGTTCCACTAGTTTATTGTTCTCACTGTTGGGAAATTTCTCCTTAGTTCTGGGTTGCTTATCTCCTTGATTAGTTTCCATCCATTGCTTCTTGTCTTGCCTTCAGGTGATTTGGAGAATAGGCTGACCCCCTCTTCTTTGTGGCAGCCCCTCGAATATTGGAACACTGCTATCATGTTGCCCTACTCCTTCTCTTCACTAGACTAAACATACCCAATTCCTGCAACCGTTCCTTATATGTTTTAGCCTCCAGTCCCCTAATCATCTTTATTACTCTTCTCTGCACTCTTTCCAGAGGCTCAACATCTTTTTAATGTTAGGGTGACTAAAACTGGATGCAGTATTTCAAGTGTGGTCTTACCATGGCCTTATAAAGCATGATACTGATTCTATCCTTCTGTTAATGCAGCTTAGGATTGCATTAGCTTTTTGGGTGGCTGCCACACACTGCTGACTCATAGTTAAATGATTGCCCACTAGGACTCCAAGATCCCTCTCACTATTGAACCGCATCTCACCTAATTTGTATGTGTACATTTCGTTTTTCAGTATAAATCATTTTCTCTCCACTGAATTTCATTTTATTAGATAGGCCCAATGTTCAAGTCTGTCGAGATCCATCTAGATCCATTTAGATCTTTAGCTTATCTTCTGGAGTATATTGACTATTCCTGCCAGCTTGGTGTTGTCTGCAAATGTGATGAGTTCTCCTTCTATCCCCTCATCTAAATCACTTATAAAGATATTGAAGATTATTAGGCCTAAAATAGAACCTTGGAGTAGCCCACTGCTTACTTCCCTCCATGTATATATAGTTCCATTAAGGACTACACTTTGAGTGCAGTTTGTCAGCCAATTACAAATCCATCTGGTGTTGATATTGTCTAACTCACATTTTTCTAGCTTACCAAGAAGTAGGTTTTGGTCTACTTTGTCAAATGTCTTACTGAAATCTAAGAATACTACATCCACAGCATTTCGCTGGTCCAAAAATTTAGTCACTTTGTCAAAGAATCAAATAAGATTTGTTTGGCATGATCTATTTTTGACATACCCATGTTGGCTTCTGGTTATAATTTTGCTTGTTTTTAGGAATTCGCAGATCTATTGTTTACCTTTTCCAGGATCTTCTCAGGTACTCATGTCAGACTGATTGGTCTGTAGTTTCCTGGATCTGATTTTTCCCTTTTCTGAAGGTGAGAACCACAGCAGTACTTTTTCAGTCCTCTGGTAGTTCCTTGGTGCTCCAGGACCTTTGAAAGATATGGTTCAATGGTTCCAAGATCATGTCTACCAGCTCCTTCTGAACTCTGGGATGTAACCCATTAGGTCCTGATAATTTGAATTCGTCTAGAGTGGACAAGTGTTCTCTTGCCTATTTTAATTTGAATTCCTAGTCTGTCTTTTATGGTTCTGTTTTAGGCTATTCTTTTCTTTTTGTGTGAAAACAAATGCAAAGAAAGAATTAAGCAGCTCTGCTTTCTTCCTGCTGCCTGTCACTTCTTTGCCATCTTCTCCCATTAGTGGACCAATTGTTTCTTTGACTTTTTTCTTGTTTTTTATATGTTGAATCTTTTTATTATTATTATTATTGACATTTGTTGCAAGTCTTACATCATTCCGTGCCTTTGCTTTTCTGACTATCTTTTCAGTTATGGACTAGTTTTTGCCTTAGTTATGTATCCCTCTTTCCATTTTTTATACTTATCCATTTTATCTTTCAATTTATTGAAGAGTTCTTTGTGCAGCCATGCTGGTTTCTTCTTGGACTTCTTACTTTTCTTTTTCAGTGGCATTATGCTGGGCTGGGCTTTTACAATCATATTTTTCAAAGTTTCCCAAGCTTCCTGAGTTGTTCTCCCCTTTAAGATTTTTATCCATGGAATCCTTCCCAAGCTCTTTCTAAATTTATTGAAATCACCTCTTTTAAAGTCTAAGACTTTAAAGATTTGATTATGTTCTATTGCCTACATTATATTGAATTCTATGTGACATGTGATCACTCTCCCAATTTTTCTGCAACTTGAACCCCTCTATCATTTCTTCTCTATTAGTAAAAATTAGATCCAGTATAGCTGTCCCTCTAGTTCTTTCCTCTATTTTTTGGATGATAAACTTGTCAGCCAGGCTCATAAGGAACCTGTTTGATCTCCCATTTGATGCAGAGTTTGAAAGTCAGTGTTTAAAGTCAGTTTCTCCAATGACTTTAGTTGTGGGACGCCAGCAGGAAGTTGCCTTGCTTAATGACCATGGGATTCAGTTAATGTGAGCAATCATTTTCTCTGCTATGGCACTTGCATGATAGAACATTCTCTTCCACCAAAGTCAGGTTAGCTCCATTCCTATTACCATTCTGGAAATTTCTCAAGATCTATTTATGTCAACAGGTCTGAGGAAACCAGGGAATTAGAAACATTTTTAGATGGCTCCCTTGTGGTTGATCTTTTACTCTCTCCGTGTGATTTATATATTTTAAATTTTTAATAGTGTTTTTTATTTTAATAATTACTTTATACTTCTATAATTATAGTTTTCATACATTTGCTGCTTTTATTGTTTTATGCCTCTCAGAGTAACTTCTTATGAGATACTATAATCTCATATAAATGAGGTTAATAAATAAATTAAGAACCCGGGCTGCAGGGACTGCCATGCTAAGCAATGTGATCATGTTTTATAACATCACTTAGCAACAGCAATACGGATCCAAATTACTCTCGTAAGTCAAGGACTCCATATATAGCCAAACTCCATACCCATCCATTCCAGAATACGTAAGTCCATAACAGAAACAGTCTATCCTGGAAAAATGTTCTTCCCTTTCTATTCATATGTTGATGATAATAGTCTGACCACAACAAAGTTCTCATCACAATTGTGGTTTGCAGGTTAACAAAAAACTGACGTGCAACACTTTGGTAGATTACATCACTATTATATGTAATAGGTAAACATTATAGATTACAAACATCTGCAATAGATTCAGCACTATATATCTGATGATGTAAGAATTATTTCAAGGTGTAATGGTTAAGTTAAAAATCACAGACCCTTCAAAATCACCCCATTTGTTTTAACCTTGCCAGCACTCTAGTTAATTTATAGATGTACAGTATAATAATCAACGAATCAAAGGTGTCTTCAGAGGATAAAGACAGAAATATTATTTTCAGTACTACTGTTTCACATTTTAATTCATATTTATATATCACAGTATACTGTTCCACCACAATTCTATTTGCTTATAATTATTTATGCTATTAAGAAATAAAATATATTTTACCATTTATTCTCATATACTGGTATGAGGGCATAACAAAAATTCCCCTTTCATTGTTTGAAAGCAGAATACACAAAATAAAAATACACCCACATGATTAAGTGTAGGGACTTAAGACATTTAGACTGTTCATAGATTGTAAATAATAATGCAATATGTCTGGGGTATTTAGAAAACTTTTAGCTGTCTCATTCTACTCTTCAAGGATCTATCTACTTTATTATTAATTCTGCAATAACTAGAACTTCACTTAACTGAAATTATCTTTGAAAGGCAGAATAAGGATTAATGTATGTTGTCTTATATATAAATCAGTAGTTCCATAACTTCTTACAGACTAAAGAATAAAAGTTATCATCACTTCTTAATTCTTCCATAAAAAGTCTGGAAATTGCTTATTACTTCTACAGCTCCTTAAATTTAACTATTTAACTAACAATTTGGTTAAATACATTAAAAGAAAGCAGCACATTAAAATTATACAAATTCTCTATTATCTTCAACAAATAACTATTTTTGCAGCAACTACTGTATTCTCCTCTTGAGATCACAACCCCAAACATGCAGGCAAAACAAAGTGGAACACATATGGAAGCAAAGAATATTCCTACCTCATACGAAAATGCAAAGTGATCTTGATGTCACTATCAACATCAAAGACATAGTTGGGAGGGAACCAAAGTTTGGTCTCTGGGTCATAGAGTGCAAACAAACTGAAGCAGATTGGTGTGATTCCTATCAAAAATAAAAAAATACAGAAAAATGAGAAACCCTCCAGATATGTCATCATATCATGCTGGGCACAATCCTAGAAGTCACTTCTTAATTTTACTGGTTGACACTAAAGGCTTACCTAGTCCAGGATCCAGCTTCTCATAGTAATCAACCAGAAACCCCAAAGCAGGATATGAGCACCATATCTGTAACTTTCTGGTTATTGACTAGTAGCCACTGATTAATGAACTCATGGGGAATAAAAATTATTTCCTTGATTGGAACTGCCCGACTTGTTGCTCAACACTTCATCTTGTGGAAACAGATGCCATAACTAAGCTGGCACTCTTAGAATGCAAATAAAATTCAATTGCATTTGGTTTTCTCTATTGAATCTCCTGCCACTCAGTTGCATTGGATTATCTTCAGTTCTTGCAAGAAAGAGAACTTTTTAATATCATATATTACTTTAATATATTTTATTATACATACTGTATACACAAACACACATATATACCTTATGTATAATAAAAATATATATTAAAGTAATATATATTAAAAGAGAATACACAATACACACACACACACACACACACACCATATATTATCTTTAGCTCATCTTCTTTCTACAGAAATACCCCCAAACCCTGCTAAAAACAAAATGCCTCATTTTTTTTTTTTTACGTTACTACCATGACCCTACCACTGAGGTATTAATAAGGTACGTCAAAGATTTAAGGGAAAGGGGAACCTCTTCAACAATATTAAAAGGGAAGACCTATTTATGAAGTATTAGATCGTCCCAGTTAAAGTTACTGCAGTAACCAAATCTTTATAAAACAATTTTATGAGCATTATGTAATTGTTAAAAAAGAAGATAGACTCAAAGCTTCATATAGTTTGCCAGGAAATATGAATGCACGTTAACTATAACAAAAGTTTTTATCTACAGAAGATAGCGTCTGTTCTTCCTTCTGAGAAACAAGCAATCTCTTGTTTTCAAGCCACAGTTTTCTAAATTAGAAATTGAAAGGGAAATTATCAAAAGAATAGGGGCTACATATGTCTACCACTAATAGAGGTTTAGACCTATTGTTTCTTACCTATCTTCTGTGCAATATCAATGCAGATCTCTTCAGCACAATAAGTCCCTTTCACGTATATCTGGTATTGTTCTTCTGCCTCACCCTTCCAGTGCAAGAATACCCTCAGACCTCCAGTAGGTGAAAAATGGCATCTCTCCATGGCTGATTCACTATGTTTTATTGCAGAGTGACAGAGAGGCATCATGCTAATGTTCAATCCTTAGCTGAAGAAAACATAAAAACATCATTTAGAAAATCTGAAACATTTGCAAGAGCAAATCATTATAAGGAAACCATATCCATGCAGATGACAATTATTCTCAAAATATTAAATGACCTGATTATTAAAAAAATGCCTATTTCAGTTTAGCTTAGAGAGGCAACTCAAGTTGAAGAGTGGATTATCTAAATACACACTCTGATAGCCAGCATGGTAAGTCTTACATATTTCCTCTTCTTCACCCAAAAAAAACCTGGTTTTTTTTGCCTGCAGAACAGGAAGTTACAGAGAAAAAAGTATTTATCTCCTCTCTAAAAAAATTAGGCAGATTGCTATCTCAAGATGCAGTAATTCTAAAAAAAAAATGCCATATTCTTGTGCTGCTGATGGAATGCTTTAGAGATACAGTTTCTAAGAGAAACCTATCAGGTAAATTATTCCTTGGATGTTGCCAGAATGAAATAACTTTTTACTAGTGGCAACCAGATACTATTTTGTAGACTTTTACTTAAAAATTCAGAAGAATCAAGCTGATAAACTTATTAATGTGATCAAAATTAAGAAATCTTTACCAAAGATTTACTCTATAGCAGTGATGGTGAACCTTTTAGAGATCGAGTGCCCAAAAACTGCTCTGCTCCCCATCTGCCCACAGGGCTACCCACTGCCTCCACGGCCTGCCGCAGATTGCCCAGGCAGCCCAGCAGCGCCATGGCAGTCATGCCCTCTGCCCGTGTCCTGCATCATCTGCACATGATGGGGCGCAAGTGCAGTGTCTTGTCCCCACTGCCCAGCTGCCATGTCCTTGGCTGCTTGGGGATGATTCTTCGGGAGGGCAATGGCACGCATGCCCACAGAGAGGGCTCTGAGTGCCACCTCTGGCACGCGTGCCATAGGTTCACCACCACTGCTCTATAGCTTCTAGATTTACTATTTTTCAGCTGAGATTCTAAAAGTGAACAGAATTATAGATTCTGGATTCCTACTTGCCCAGAAAAAGATCTTTCAGCATAAACAATAATCAATACAATATTAGCTCAAGCATCCAATCATTCAAGCCATCATGGTAGTCACACTAAATAAAAGCAAGGATGATGAATGTTAAGTCTCCCTGCAGTTATACAAATCTGCAATAAAATATAACTTTCTTAAATAAACAAATTAGAAAATGGCACTATTTATTATTTTTTCACAAATACTGGGAAGAACAGAATTCTGCCCATACCCTCAGTTGTTTCTCTCTGTTTCTGCCTCCCCATCAAACAAACAATCACAATTAAAAATCACAGTAATTCGAGTCCAGGACACTCAGAAACACTTAAACTAAGCATGAAATGAGCTCATTCATACTATTAGAGCCCCAAGCTTGATAGAACAATAGGTTTTAGTGCCTAAAGAGAAAGACCAGTAGTATCTGGGCAAGTCTGATTTCATGGGGGATGAAGTTCCAAAGGGCAGGTACCTTGGCAAAAAAAGATTTTCCTCCTGGGTCCCAACAAGTGACTCTCTCTTACGAATGTGACCCAGAGCATTTGTCTCCTACTGAAACTAGCAGAAAGGGTAGCCACCACAATCCCTTAAGTAAACTGGCTCCAAGCCATGAGGAGCTTTCAAGATAACCACAAATGTCTTGAATTTCACCCTGAAACATATTGGTAGCCAAAGCAGTTCACCAAGTAGTCATATGTGCAGAACAACCAACATCTTTAACTGCTTATGCTGCTGCATTTTGCACCCGCTGAATCTTCTGAATGGTTTTTAAGGGCAGCCTCATGAAGAACATGTTAAAATAATCTAATCAGAAGGTGACTAAGGCATGAGTGATTGTGAGCCCTCAAGAAAAAAACACAACTAATATATAACACAAAGCTGTGCAAAATCCCTCCTGCCACTGCTGCTACATGCTCATTGAACAGAAGCTGAGTCTAGGAGGATCCTCCCCCCAACTGTGTACAAGATCTATCTGAGGCAGTGTAATAGCATCCAGAACAAGTAAGGAGGCTCTAAAACAATGGTTCTCAACCTTTTTAATGCCGCGACCCACAACTGGTCGTAAGTTGAGGACTACTCAACCAGTCGTAAGTCGAGGACTACTCAACTGGTGCAGCACTGTTTGCAGAATGGGACTTTTGGCGGGCTCAGCAGGACAGAGACAGCCTGGACAATTCCTATTGGCTTTTGAAATCCAATAGAATTAGACTCTATTCAAGAGAGTCTATTCTATTGGCTTTCAAAAGCCAATAGAATAAAAGGGAGTAGCACAGCTAAGGAAAAGGGGGAAAAAATGGCGGACTGCGTTGTTTGGCGACCCCCGTGAAATGGTCGTTCGACCCCAAATGGGGTCCCAACCCACAGGTTGAGAACCACTGCTCTAAAACCAAAAGCCAATCGTGTTATTAGAGTTAAGCCAAAGCCTATTGTTTCCCATCCAGATCCTCACATTCTCCAGACACCAAGACATGATCTCTACAGCATCACAACATGCCCAAGTGAAGATGCATAACTGGATATCATCTGCATACTAATTGCATGCTTGATCACACAGCATCTTCTCTAACTAGAGGAATTCTTGCAATTACCCAGCAAACTAAGATAATTAACTGCTTGATTCCATGGAGTTAAGTTTAAGGAGATTGCAACATACTATGGTAAACACAAATCTCACCAATCCTTCTGTATCCAGCTATTAAGAATTTTATGGCTTTACTGATTTGGGATTAAGTACTGATTTAAGATAACACTTACCGTACTATCCTTCTTAATCCAAGCTACATAAGTGTTATTTATGCTGAATTAACCATTATGGTCTGTATTTATATTCCTTAAAAAATATAAGCACTCTACACACTGTTTTGTGCAAGATGGATCAGCTCTGGCTCAGACTGATAAACCCACCTCATTACTGACACTTAATACAAGTCATTCCACTGGACGCTTTAAAAGATGGCTCTGAATTTTGCTATCCTCCAGAGAAACCTGCTGGTAAGATAGCATAGTAATGAATTGACATAAATAAGGAATAAGCCTTTATTTTATGTAAGTCACTGTGAATATATTTAACTATATAAAGCTTCTTTTAAAAGTTGAAACATGTTTTATTTTATCACCTCTATCCTTCTGGCATTCCTAAACTGAGGCAGAATACTAAGAAGGCAAGTACAGATGTCCCTTATTAAAATTTAGTCTTTCAGTGAGCTCACTATTTTGTCTGCAATACAGGAATAGTACTGACTGTAGAGACTGTTGTTTACTTATAAAGCATGCCTCTGTAAAATAATTTACAAGGTTGTTATACTGTCATCTAAATAAAATATTAAGATAAATGTACTTCTATGTTTCAGGTCTATATATTTACCATCTCTAATCTTTAGAAAAACTTTTAGTTTTTCATAATCTTTTTTTCTGCTTGCTGGTAAGTATTGCTTTGCTGAATCAATCCAAAGACTCATCTGAGAGAATAATTCAGAGATATCTCTGCAAACAGGTCTTTTTTTTTTTTTAAAGGCTACTTAATCTATAATCATTGACAGATACCTATCACAAATCTGACCTTGATTTCTTTCTTTTTAGTCTGGTGGAAAGGGAGTTATGTAGCCACAGTTTGGATAGATGTTGGGATTTTGGAGGCTTTTACACATTTAAAGAACGGTTGGTTTCTTCGCCATCCCATGCTTCTTTCTACTGTAATATTTTCATTACAGATAACACACCGTGTTATCGAAGGACCATGCCCTCCTCCATACCATACACTGAGGCTCTGTATCAGAAAATGACAGCTGACAGAAACTTGACAGACCTTCTCCCATCGTCGGTCGGTTTCCCCATGCATTTGGTTCAAACCCCCATTTTCTAAAGTTATTTCAGTCTTAGCTTCTCTCGGCGCCCCTGTCACTTCGGACTTCTCGCACCCTCGATGCGCCATTTCCTCCAGAGTTATCAGTCAGCTCCTCTATTCTCCCGGCCCCCACCATTTAGATCCGTGGAGTCTCCACGTGCCAAGTCCCCCGACCCAACCGCTACCTACCTCAGAGGCGGCAGGAGGAGAAGGAGGAGGAGGAACCCACCGCTACTCTCACGCCACCGCGGTGGCCAAAACAATCAATCAAAGAGAAACAGCTCCAGTCGCCTTCCTCCCTCCCTCAATGTCTGGCTTGTGAAACCAAGACAAACCTTATTATTGGCTTCATGAGACAACTTCTCTCATTGGTTCGTATTCTGCTCCACTCCCTCCTTCCCCCTAATCAGGCTACGCCGTAAAGTAAAACTCGGCCCACTTTGAAGGCTCGTGGTTGGAAGGTTTAAAGATGATAGGCTTCCCGAATGCGCGAACGAGTCTGGATTTAGCCCCGCGTGCTACTGTATACCCAGTCTTGCTAGATGGTTTACAACGCCTGAGTTGGCGTCCGTCCGCCGCTGGGTTACGGCGTCGGTTAAACCAGGGATAGGCAACCTTGGCTCTTTTATGACTCGTGGACTTCAAATCCCAGAATTCCTGAGCCAGCCATGCTGAGGAGAAATAGAGAGGTTTCCAAGCTGAGCCATGCTGGCTTAGGAATTCTGGGAGTTGAAGTCCACGAGTCATAAAAGAGCCAAGGTTGCCTACCCCTGGGTCAAACTAAAGGAAGAGCACGTCTCCAGACGCTGCAGTCTGAAGGCCCAGCCGGACTGCATCCGAGAATCACGTGGCGATCCGAAAGAAGCCTCACGTTAGTTTCAACGTATACCCTCTATAATTATCACTGTTAATGGTTGCGATTTAATACGTTACCTAAAATCTAAATTAGCAACTTTTAGAATACATTCGCCACGTAAATAGCAGTCAGAGAGCACTAGGTGATGCTTAGAATATGCTACCCTTTCCGAAAATAGTTCAGGAATGGAGTTGAACCCTCCACTTTTCATTCCAGCGTTGGTTGTCAAATTGTTTGAATGGTCAGGTCAGAGGACCCAACAGCGAAATCAATATATAGTTAGTTAGGAGGATGACGCCCAAGTAATCAGATTTTTTAGGATAAACTGGAATCTGTTCATCAAATGAAATCTGATGTACCCAATCCTAAACAGCACAGTATTTAGGTTTAAGGTAACCCATATCTCAAAATAATATCAAAGGAGACGTGCGGGCCATAGAAATCTTAACAACCTGAAGAAAGTGTGACCATAACCTTGATCCTCGAGAAAAGAAACTTGTCCATGGAGTTAATAATAGAAATTTTACCTGTGCAATTATAGGTTTCAGTGTTGCTTATCTGAACAATATAGATGCTTGAATAGGAGCACAGATCCAGTAAGAAACACCAACATAAAGATAAGCAGAATTTCGTTCTATTTATACTTTGGCAGGCGTTAAGATTGAAACACAAGACTATGAACATTGTTATGAGGTGGGCAACCTTAAACAAACATTGCCCCACACAGCCCATTAAATAAAACTGCTTTCAGATTAGGTCAAATTGAAAATCTTGCCAACAATTAATAACTGATTATGCAGCAATTTAGTATTCCTAACATTTCCTATGCATTTGTTTAATAATCCTTACAAACAATCCTCCACAGAAAAGAAATATTGAGATGAAGAGATCTGGGCTAATATTTAACAGTTGGTTTAAAACCACTCCTGAAAATAAAAGCAAGGGCAAGAAGAAACTTGATAAATTTTTATTTATAGCTCATGTAGTTATTTGCTATCTGAGCTCAGATTTATTTATAACCCCCTTTATTATTTTTATAAGTAATTCAACATGGTGAATATATACAATACTCTTTTCTTCTCCTATTTTCCACACAACAACAACTCTGAGGTGAATTGGAAGAGAATGACTGGCCCAAATCTATCCAACCAGCTTTCATACCTAAGGTGGGACTAGAATTCACAGTCTCCTAATTTCTAGCCTGGTGCCTTAACTACTACCAGTAGACCAAATTAGCTTTTGGATGATGTCAGGAGTTCTAGAAATCATATTTATTTAGTTACCAAGTGCTACTTCTTTCCTAAAGTTTCTAGATTAGATCTAGTTTAGTGATGTACATTCTTATTTCTGCCTTCTCTGTTATTCTGTCTGTTGGAATAAAATTAGATTATTACAAAGAGCTTTTGTGATTGTGACATGATACAATGCATGTGGGTGGAAAGGGAACACAGAACAGTCAGTAGAGGGCATTTGTGTGGGAAACTTTATAAAAACACTGGGAACATATTCAAGAGAAAAAGATCTTAGTTGAGATGACTCCAAGCCAAAAATGCCTGAAAACAAAGCAAACACAAACTTGGAAAAGGATTATGGCCCCACATAGCTAAATAATCTTAGGCACTCAGAGAGATTGTGTCACAAATTTAGACAGTGAGAAACTTATTATTTCAAAGGCAACCATTAATCCTATATATAAATTATAAACATTTCAAAGAGGAGGCACTGGTTTTAACATACATACATAGCCTCAAACTGTTCCATTCCATAAGCAACATAACGCAGACCACAGAAAAATAGAATGAAATAGGCTGAAGAAATTAAAGGCATGAAAAAGGAGAAAGAAAACAAAGCTAAATTTACACTAACACTACCCATTGTATCTGCAAACTATCCTTACTCATACAATCTTTCATATGTTGCCTTTTAAATTGTTTAAATTGTTTCACAATACAGTAGCATCCAATCACAACTTTCCCAGTTTTAGTATCACTCTTTCTTCATGTTTGTTTTGTAATTGTAATTTCCCCTCATCTATTCCCAGTACCATTCTTTTTCATAATTTATGTCTTGAGCTATCATTTAAATAATTTTATGTTTTAAAAATCACTGAATTAAATTCAAATATTTAGCACCTGTTTCTCAGTCTGCTTAATAGTCTTTGTAGTATACCAAATGTTCTCTCCTTTAAACAGAATAACTTGGCTCTTGCTATGTGCCACTCAGAAGCTTCAACTGATTCAGAAAACAGTGGGATGGGCAGCAGCGGACATGACTTGCTATGCTCAACTAACACCCCTGCTCGGTAAGTTGCACCAGTTTGCTTGTAGGTGTGATTCAGAGTGCTGGTTATAACCTACAAAGCCCTACATGGCATAGGGTCTAGCTGTCTGAGTGATCAGTTATCTCCTTGGGTGTCTGCTTAGCTAACATAAGCCCATAGGATTGGTATGCTCTGGATTCCTTCCGTTAAATATTATGATCTTTTGGAATTGATGAAATGTGCCTTTTCAGTTGTAACACCTGCCCTGTGGAATAAGGTTCTCCCTGAAATCCCCTCTGATTGCATTCTGGAAGACTTAAAGACATGGTTGTTCTCCCAGACCTTGAATTGCAGCCTTTGTGGGATATGTTTGCCTATGTTTTATGTTGTTGGTTGGATTTACCATTTTTCTTTTAATTTTTCTTCATTATCCTTTTTCTCCATTCTTTTATTATATAGATAGCTGCTTAGAATCATTCCAGAGATGGGCAGTGCCTAAATTAAATAACTACATTCTAAAAGTTTACTTCCTGTTCTTATATATATAAAAGTTCATTTGCTTCAATTATTTCTGGAATTGTACACTTTTCTGTTCACTATCAGACCACTGAAGCAGGGCAGGTCAGAAGACAATCTGACTTATTGGTATAAGCAATAGTAGCAAAATCTTTACCGCCTGACTACATTTTCCCCTTTCTCTTATGATATAGTGAATTAGGAAGGTGAATCTGAAGGTGAATCAAGCAATGAATCAGCAAACTACCTAGAGCAGAGTTTCCCAAACTTGACAATTTTAAGGCATGAGGACTTCAACTCCCAGAATTCCACAGCCAGCAACGCCGGCTGTGGAATTCTGGGAGTTGAAGTCCACATGCCTTAAAATTGTCAAATTTGGGAAACACTGACCTAGAGGCAAGCAAAGTCATTACCAAAAGCCAACATGGATTTGTCAAAAACAGATCTTATTGCATTCTTTGACCAGGTGACAAAATTAGTGGATCAGAGGAATGCTGTGGATATAATTTAGTTGGACTTCAGTGAGGCATTTGATAAAGTAGACTACAACCTACTACTTGGTAAGATAGAAAAATGTGGGTTAGAAAACATCACCACCAGATGGATTCGTAGCTGGCTGACCGGTCGTACTCAGCGTGTAGTTCTCAATGGAGGGAAGTGTCTAGTGGGGTGCCCCAGTGCTCTGTTCTGGGCCCAGTGCTCTTCAACATCTTCATCAATGATTTGGATGAGGGGATAGATGGGGAACTCATCATATTTGCAGATGACACCAAGCTGGCAGGAATAGCCAACACTCCAGAAGATAGACTTAAGATACAGAAGGTACTTGACAGACTTGAACATTGGGCGCTATCTAACAAAATGAAAATCAATGGTGACAAAAGTAAAGTTCTACGTTTAGGCAAGAAAAACCAAATGCACAGGTATAATATAGGTGTTACCTTGCTCAATAGTAACTGTGAGAGGGATTTCGGAGTCTTAGTTGACAATCACTTACATATGAGCCAGCAGTGTGCTGCAGCTGCCAAAAAAGCCAACACAGTGCTAGGCTGCATTAACAGAGTGATAGAATCAAGATCACGTGAAGTGTTAATACCATTTTACAATGCTTTGGTAAGGCCACACTTGGAATACTGCTTCCAGTTTTTGTCATCACGATGTAAAAAAGATGTTGAGACTCTAGAAAGAGTACAGAGAAGAGCAACAAAGATGATTAGGGGACTGGAGGCTAAAGCATATAAGGAAAGGCAGCTGGAATTGAGTATGTCTAGTTTAATGAAGAGAAGGACGAGGGGGGACATGATAGCAGTGTTCCAATATCTCAGGGGCTGCCACAAAGAAGAGGGAGTCAAGCTATTTTCCAAGGCCCCTAAAGGCAGGACAAGAAGCAACAGATGGAAACTAATCAAGGAGAGAAGCAACCTAGAACTAAGGAAAAATTTCCTGACTGTTAGAACAATTAACCAGTGGAACAACCTGCCTCCAGAAGCTGTGAATGCTCCAACACTGGAAATTTTTAAGAAGAGACTGTCTGAAATAGTATACAGCAGCGGTGACCCAGAGGCAGCACACAGAGCTCTTTCTATGGGCACGTGCACCATCGCCCCAGCCTTGCCTCCCCCGTGGCCCCCTCCTCACCAGCAGGCCCCCCAGAGGAGAGTTGCCCCCAGGTGCGGCCTGCTTGGAGCAGCACAGCCAAGGACATGGCAGCCGGGTGGCAGGGACAAGACTGCCATCGTGCCTCGTCGTGCGCAGATGATGCTGTGGGGTGCAGGTGGAGTGTGTGGCCACTGTAGGGCCACCTGGGCAATCTGCGTCAGGCCGTGGAGATGGTAGGTGGCCCTGGGGGCGGGGCGGGGGCAAGGGGGTGGGGCAGTTTTTGGGCACTCAGTGTCTAAAAGGTTTGCCATCACTGCACTGTTCCTTGCCTGGGCAGGGGATTGGACTAGATGACCTCCAAGGTCTCTTCCAACTTTATTACTACTACTACTACTACTGTTATTTCTCACATATTTTACAATCTTTCTTGCCACAGTTATTAAGTGGCAAGGCTATTAGAAGTAAATAAGTGAGAGTATATGAAAATACAAAGAGATTTCCTATGTTTTCATATGCATAACTATACAATAGTGTAAGGTGGAATACTATAGCACTAACAGCCTTAATAGCATCCATTCCCACTGTGGTAATAACCCTAATTTAAAAGATAGGAAGAATTTTGGGGTTTATGAAATTCAATTAAAATCTCAGCAAGGCATCAAGAATTATGAAAATTGATTTATTCCACCATGTTAAATAATATTTTTTTTTATTGAAATTTTTTTAAATTTTACAAAACAAATCCCCTCCCCAGACCCCCCCACCCTCCATTACCCTCCCCCACCTCCCCAAGCCTCCCAAACCCTCCCCCAACCTTCCCAGAGTTGAGTACAGGCTTAATTAAAATTTTCCAAAAAAAGAAAAGAAAAACTTGAAACACATATAAATCCTAAACAAATCTAAATACCTTAAATTAAATAGATTATCTTCTCTAAAAAATAATAATTACAATCATTAAATGCATTATAATATACTCTAAACATTTTCTAATATACTTATAATGTTATCCATCATTCTATATAAACTCCCTCCAAAAGACAAATTTAAACATTACTTTCTTTAAACATCTATACCTACAATATAAAATCTAATATAAATCATAAACAAATCTGAATACATTTAATTAAACAAATTATACTCCCTCCAAAGCACAAATTTAAACATTACTTAAAACTTAAAACATTAGAATCCCCTTATACGCATTAAAATCTTTACCAATAACAAATTCCATCTTAAAAATAATAATAATAATAATTAAAAAAAACCAAACATTGAACACATTATAATATACTCCGAACCTTTTCATATCATACTTATATTATTATCCATCATTCTTTATAAACTCCCTCCAAAACACAAATTTAAACATTACTTAAAACTTAAAACATTAAAATTCCCTTATACGCATTTAAATCTTTACCAATAATAAATTCCACCCACAATAAACACATTAAACATTTAAATCTTTACCAATAACAAGTTCCATCCACAAAAAACACAGTCCTTATCAGTCTCAATTGTCCATATAGAATTTTCATTCGATCTCCATCCTTATCAGTCTCTCTTATCCATAAGGCTGGAAAGAAATGCTTTGAGATCTGCCCTTAAAGGTTGCTCCGAAATTATAAATCCTGACTCTCCCGCCGGCTCAGAAGCCAATACATGTGAAGATTCCTTAAACTCCTTCTTCTGTTGGTCTTTTTCTTTACAGTTATATGTTGCACAAGTTGTCCTCGCCCCTTCCTCTCAGCTTGTTGAAGCCCCTCAGACTGAGATTTCCCATTTTCCATTTCTTCACACAGCAATTTTACCCTTGAGGGTTGCTCCAAAAACTTTATAAGTCTTACTTCTCCCACAGGTTTAGAAGCCAATAGAATGTGAGGCTTCCTTAACCTTCTTCTGTTGTTAAATAATATTTTGTTATTCAATTATATTAACTGAATTATAGATTATAATTTAATCCAATTTATATATATTACTTTCTTTTGTGACCCGGCCCATTTAGTCACCGTTATTTGTTTGGTTGGTTTTTTTCTCCAGAAACTTATAAATTGCACATCTTCCATAGATGGCAAAAAACTCTCAGGAGGATCACTCTTACAATACTGAAGCAACTACAAAAGAAGGGAAATGAAACACAATGGAAAGGTAAAATGTTTTGTAGTAATTTTGAGCTATGGAGTGAACATTTCTAAGGCTCTTATTTCCTCTCAGGATTTTGAGAACCTAGAAGGAAAACTGGATTAGGTTTTGTCAATGTAAGGAGAACTCCTTTGTTATTAAGAAGAAGCACTTTTTAGAAATGGCAGTAGCATTGGAAATATCTATTTTATCCTTGTTAATGCGTATTAGAACATGATGGGATTTGACAAGTATCTCCAACTCACAGAGAACATTTATGGGTTTTCCAAGTTACACTGTTGGTTTTTCAAGTTATATAGTTGTCTTTTCCCTTAATGGGTTTGCCTCATAAAGTTACATGGAGTTGGATCTCGCTGTGTTGAATCAGTTAATTCTGCCTTTGTTAAGATATGGAGTATTTATTTCTGTCTTGATAAGGAAAAAATTAAGAGGCTTTATCCTGGGAAGGAAGTAGTTTAGATCTGGGGAGGGATTATTGGAACAGGGAACTGGACCCGTCTTTGTCACTTTCACGAGTGATGTCCTAAAAACACATTATCTTTTCATTTCAGCCATAAAATAGTTCTACAGTAGGGGTTTTTTTTCCTTCCTCCAAGGCCAGTCCCAGTTGGGGTTGGTGGGAGGAGAGCAGTCAGGCCATAAGCCCCACTCTGTGGGGTGCTTCAGTACTCTGCCCATTTTCTCCTCCCCCTTTTAGTATTTACATGAAGCCATTGGGGGAGCTCATCTGTCAGTTTGGGATCAGGTATTATTAATATGCCAGATGATACCCAGCTATACATGTCTGGCCCTGGGCTGCCAAAATTCTTTCTGAATGTCTGAAGGCTGTGAGGATCTGGATAAGGAAGAACAGGTTGTGGCTGAAACTTGCCAAAATTGAGTAGTTGTTGCTTTTGGGGATCCCCAGATCCAGGAGTTGCAGAATTTCCATCTATGGTTTTGGATGGGGTGGCACTACCCCATTCATACTTGATACCCAATCTGGGGGTTTTCTTGGACTCATAGCTACTGTTCAAAGAGCAGGTAGTAACTGTGGCTAGAGGAGCCTTTGTACAACTGTGTGTTGTTGATAGTTGCTCCCATTTTTAGATCAGAGGGCCCTGCTCATGGTCACTCACACTTTAGTCAGCTCCTAATTGGACCATTGTAACACATTTTACATGACGTTATCCTCCTAATTGTTCTATTGCAATGTATTCTACATGTCCTGTGAAGCTTCAATTGATCTGGAACCCAATTATGTGGGTTCCAGATCATATACCCATATACCACTGCTGTTCCATTAGCTGCACCGGCTCCTGATTCAAGGTGCTGGTGATTGCCTTTAAAGCTGTTTGAGCAGGAGGTTGGACTAGAAGACCTCCACGGTCCTTTCCAACTGTTATTCTGAACAGAACCATCTCACAAGAACATCTGCCTGCACCACACATTCCCACAGGAAGGGCATGCTCTGATGTCCTTTTAAATTTTATCATCTTATGGGAGCTAGGAAGTGTGCCTTTTCTGTGGTTGTCTGGAATGATCTATTCCACCATCACCACCCACCACCACTATGCCAATATACAACAGGTCCTAACTCTGTTGGGAAAGCCATAAAGACTGGGTTCTTCCCTGTGGCATTAGGGGATGGTTGAGTGGGATAGTCACTCTGTCATTGTTTTACTGTGTACTGGGGCACCATTTTACATGGTATATTTATATTTATATACTGTCTTTTTGTTATAGATGGCTTGTTTTTTCTTCTTTTTGATTTATTGTGCACTGCCCAGAGTCACACTGTCTGACTTGGGGAGATTGTAAATCTATAAATAAATAAATCTTTCAAAATTGATTCTAGTGGGACTCTTCATTTTTTTCCAGGACTTATACAACGTTTGAACATAAGAATTCAGTTTTTCCTGATTGCTCCCATATAACTAAATAATGGAAGATTAGATTTCCTTTGGCTCTCACACTTTAAAAGTATGGGAAAGGCGATTGGCTGGCACATTTACATAACACCAAAGAATCTTGAAGAATATTTTATTTAAGGTTGTTTTCCTCACTTTGGTTTCCATTTTTAAACTGAATAAACAAATTCTTAAGATATCACCCCCAAAAAAGATCTTTTGGGACAAAAATATTAAAATTGCTATTTAAAATGTGTATCTTTCTCCATATTGGTTGCTGTGTAATTTTTGTTTGCTGTCCTGTGTTACTTTTATTTTCAACATTTTGTTGATATACTAACTAGAAAGTGGGGGATTGAAAAAGAAATAAATTATCTCTGGTATTCCTATACTAAGCATTTTGTTGGGAAAAACAGAAAATAAAATCACTAGAAAACCTGATTAAATTGAGACTTGGTTATACTGCAGTGATTCACTTGACAACTGTGGCAAGAAATGTCGTAAAATGGAACAAAATTCACTTAACAATTGTTTCATTTAGCAACAGAAATTTGGGGCTCAATTGTGGTCATAAGTCAAGGGCTACCTGCACTTGGATTTTTTTTTAAAGAGCTAGCTTAAAATGCTACACCAATATCCCATGAAAAACCAAAATGTAGACTATTTGATCCCTCAGGTTCCTATAACACAGTGGTTCTCAACCTTTTTAATGCTGCGACCCCAACCGGTCGTAAGTCGAGGACTTTCCCTGCCTGGGAGCGCCGTGCATGCATGGTGCTGCCCCCTGCGCCAGCCGAGGTGTAGCTGGCAAGTGGCAGAGATGGCGCAGGCCTACCACTGGCTGGGCCACCAGCTGGCCCAGCCCAAGGGAGGTAAGGCACCCGCCGGGCCCCATGCGCGCCAGCAACCCTCCCTGCGCCCGCCAGCCTCTCATCTCCCACCCCTGGCCCTCTTTTACTTACCTTTTTAGTAGTTGCTCAGCAGGGAGGGGTGGAAACTTCCAGACAGCTTGCCTTCGCCGCAGACAACTTGCAGCACCGTTTGCAGAATGGGACTTTTGGCGGGCTCAGCAGGGCAGACACAGCCTGGACAATTCCTATTGGCTTTTGAAAGCCAATAGAATTAAACTCTATTCAAGAGAGTCTATTCTATTGGCTTTCAAAAGCCAATAGAATAAAAGGGAGTAGCACAGCTAAGGAAAAGGGGAAAAAAATGGCTGACTGCATTGTTTGGCCACCCCCGTGAAATGGTTGTTCGACCCCAAATGGGGTCCCGACCCACAGGTTGAGAACCGCTGCTATAACATGAGGTACAGAAATCAGTGGATTATATTTTTTTAAATTTAGGATATAGTAAAATAACACTGATTACATCCATTCTCCACCATATTTATAGCAATATAAAAGTGTTCGGTGTTGCAGACAGATAAATCAAGTTTTTTCCATCATAAATCACGTAGAGGCTATATACCAAAGGCGAATTGTCAAATTTTGTTAACAGAAAGTACTGCAGCAGACTAGGTTCATATAATGTGTTTCTTCAAAATGTGGCTTAGCCTGTAGTAGAGCCAACCAATTGCAATTGATTAAAAAATTACGTATAAGAAAATTGTGAGTTAGCATGTCATATCATAGACTAAGTTTGAGTAACATGCAAATCTGTTAACTGTAACTTTCAAAGCTATGACTTATAGAGAAATAAATTATACATATATCTAGTTAGAATGACAATAGTTTACTGGTTAACATATTTAATCAAGGAAGATCCAGTTTCAAGTCTTCAGCAATCAAAGAACTGACTGGTTGACATTGATCGTCTGACTGGTTGACAGTCACTCTTTCAGTCAAAGCACACTGAGGAATAAAGCTATTTTATCTACCTTGCACAGCAGTCTTATTAAAAGGCTTTTTCTTTGCTACATTTTAACTACTTAAGAGGTTTGCTCAATTTAAAAAAGAAAATATAAGAGGCAAATAAGATAGGCAGACTTATTAGCAGAACTTGAGATTAGGGAAAAAAGGTTTTTTGTTTTTTTTTAACCTGTCCTTGTCTAATTCCCTGATAGAATCAAATTAGGAGAGGAAATTACTGTCTGTGCAGGCTCAGCATTTCCTCTCCAAGCAAATACAGAAAGGAAAGGGTTTGGTAAAAGATCCTATAACCCAGAGGTCACCAATCTTTGTCGGGTGGCGGACCAGAGGAAGAGGGAGGGGGAAGCATTTTACATACGGATGGGGCAGTGAGCACATGCGTGCCGCAAATGGGTGATACTCACTAGCCCTGCCCCATTCTTGCATGACGCAGTGCCTTGTTTCTGTGCTCGGTGGCGGCCGTTTTTGCACCTTGCAGCGTGGAAGCAGCCCGTTTTTGTGCCCTGCGGTGAAGCGGTGGCCCATTTCTGCGCCCCAAAGCATGGCAGCAACCATTTTTGCGCCTTGCAGTGCGGTGGCAGCTTGTTTTTGCGCCCTGCGGTGCAGTGGCGCCATTTTCATGCTCCAAGCCGCCATGGCATCCCATTTTTGCATGCCAAGGCTCAGCCCGTTTTTGCGCCCCGTGGTGTGATGTCCTGTTTTTATGCCCTGTGGTATAGTGTCCTGTTTTTGTGCCCCACAGCCAGTGCTAGCACAAGCAGGGGCCCACAGGTTGGGGACCCCTGCTGTAACCCGCCCCCTTGGAGGCAGTTCTCCCGTAAGACTTTGTTTCACTTTCTGCCTGTTGATGGTTTGTCTGTTCTTCCCTCTGTGAACAAGATATACTAGCAGTCTCTAGGCATTAAGTTCAAACCCACACCTCACAACCTCTCAGACCTGCCTTAAAATTTCCTGTATGAAGTGTGTTGACTGAGGTCTTTCTGAGAGTTACAAATAAATAAAATAACAAAAAGGGAATAAAAGTTACAAATTCTTCATTGATAAAACTTCATGCTGTTCAATGGTGTAAAGCAACAGCCCCCAAGTTTTTCCACGTACCAGAGGAAGCGTGGTTTCACATGTTGCCTACATCCTACGGATGGGGCTTCACTTGTTTGTGCGGCCCAGTTTCTGGTATGCCGTGGCCCTGTGTTGGTTCACGGACCAGGGGTTGGGGACCCCTGGTCTAAAGTACATAATGAATGAAAGTCAGTTCCTTGCAGGTGAAGACAGTAGGAATTTATGTTTACAAAAGTTTTCGTAAAGGGTCTAGGACAACTCAATGTGGCCAGCTTGGCATCGCCAGCTTACTGCCATTAGCTCACTACTGCCAAGTTGCCTCTGCCAACTCACCACCAAATTGCCACAGGACAACTCTACATGGCAACTCACTTTGGGCTGCCAGAGGAGAGCTGGGTAGGTGAGCAAGTGGGCAAAGTGTGAATGGCAGCGGCTTCCTAATTTAACTGCTACTGCGCCAAGCTCCGGGCTATTCAGAATTCAGCCTGTTTGGCGATGGATGGGGGGAGGTGACAGCCAGGGGCATCCCATTTTCACACCCTCCGCCACATCAAGCTCCCGGAGCTGTCACCCACCTGCCCAGGTCTCTTTCTGGTCACCTGCAGTGAGCCGTCCCCAGACCAAGTTGGCTGTGTAGAGTTGTCCTGTGGTGACTTGGTGGCAGTGAGTTGGCAGAGGCGACATGGTAGTGTTGAGTTGGTGATGGTGAGCTGATTGCGCTGAGTTATTCCATTCCATTTGTAGAATGTTAACCAAATATTTTTATCTTTAGGCAAATTTGGAATTTATTTCAATGACCGAGGTTTAGCTATCAATATCAATATGTATGACTATTTAGTATCAATAGTCATACAAAATTGGGAATATGGAAATAGATCACAATCATATGAAACTACAACTCAAGGAATAGTTGGATTTTGGGGAAATGCAAGCAGGCTCAGCTTTTTACTTCAAGGTTCTAGTGCAGTAAGCAATATACTAGTAGCACTTCAGTATTATTTTTCTAACAAGTGATTAAGAGTAAAAAGGTAGGCTAAAAGAAACTTCCCTTTCAGACAGGCTTTACTGAGAATTCCTATAAGGTAAGGCAAAGTACAGCAGACACCCAAAACCACGAAGCGGATAGTCTATTAGATCGTTTCAATAAAAAGCCAAATATCAAAGATATACCCCATGGTGGTTAAAGCTTAAAACGTATCAAAGATATTGCCTTGATTGGTTGTTCATGCCCCCATTCAACCCAGGACAGTCCATCCAATGTTCACCTACATTTACAGGGTTTCAAGAAGATACATTTTCCAAAGCTGTCATGAAATCTCAGATGCTAAGGATTATATCTTGGATGTTACACACCACACCCATTCCACTCTTCAAACAACTTGAATTGCAACTAAATGAAATGAATAATTTGAATCCATGTGAAGTAAATACAATGGCCAATGACACCATATCAATTTCAGCTATTTCAACCTTTTTATTTGCTCAATAGCTTTCACTGTTTGTCAAAGAAAAAGATAGATATTAATAGCACATTTGTAACTAGGACACTGACTTGCATCACCACAGCAAGACAGAAGGCGGAACTGCTATGCCAAGCCACTCTAAGCCTGCATTATGGTGCGTGGACTCCCCTGAAATCTTGGCTTCCAGTAGATAACAAAGCTGTACAAATTGGGAACTGTTTTCACAGGGTGAGGAAGCAGCTCATACAATCATAAAGTGTCTAAATGTGTAGAGTACATCATCATTGAACAGATTGGTGTGAAAGGTTGGACAGAAGATAATGGGGCAATCTGCTTTACAGACACATGGCCAAGGCTTCAGGGATTTTCTTTTTCTTCCTCAGAGCTGCTCTTCTTAACTTCCTCGTAGACACCTTCCAACTTGTCACCCTTTTCTGCTCCTACTGATTGTGCATTTGGTACCCACAGGCCGGAATCAATGCACCGCTGCATATGGTATTTTGCTTCCTGTAAAAGATACAAAATATATACTGCTGAAGGGCTATATATTGCACATTAGATATCTTAACAATTCTAATTAACTCACAGGGGGTTCCTTTTGCTTCCAAAAATTACTGTAGAATCTAAAGCAGCGATTCTCAATCTTCGTGTGATGGCGACCCCGTCACACGAATGCGCCGCGCATGCGCGGCGGTGCCATGTGCAGCGTGCATGCATGGCGCCGCCCCCACGCGCGGCGTGCATGCGTGGCGGTGCCCCCATGCGCAGCGCGCATGCGCTGCGCCCCCCCTGGGGGGGGAAATGGCGGATCGCGTTGTTTCGCGAGCCCCGTAAAATGGTCGATCGACCCCAAATGGGGTCGCGACCCATAGGTTGAGAACCGCTGATCTAAAGTTTAGAAAAATGCTTGAAATAATACTTTGTGGTAATATTTTTTGAAAATAGCATGTATAACCTCAAAGAAAAAAATAATTATGAAGGCACACAAGCAATAGTGCCAAAATTAGCAGTTTCTGATTTCAGTAAACATACTGGTCCAGCTCATAAAGTTCAGCTATATTATTAATATTCTATGTGTCCCGACATAGAACTATGGAAAATTCTAAATCAATAAATTGGGTACTAATGAACAAACAC